GCTTCTTTGTGTAAATTAGGAAATTATAATAAATCACTTGCATGATTTTCTCAAGGTCAACTCCAGCCAAAATGATGATTTTGCTGCTGTTAAGCCTACTTTCCCTCCTCTCACCCACAAAAACCTCATCACCCTTCCTCTCTACCAAATCAAGATACAAACCTGCCACCTTCAAGAAAACACTTTCTGTCTTACTTTCCATGAAACAGGCTATCACTACAGGAGGCGTTACTTACCGGGAGCAGCCATGGCACAAGGAGTGCTTCGTTTGTACTGGATGCAAGAAGCAGTTGTCTGGACAGCGCTTTACCTCCAGGGATGAGTTCGCATATTGCCTGAGCTGCTTCTGCAACCTCTACGCCAAAAAGTGTGCTGGATGCACAAACCCAATCAGTGGTAAGTCTCTCATGGCCAGTGCCTTTAAATTTGGGTGGGTTTTTTTCAATTAATTACTTTTAATATTAAAAATGGTTCAATAATTCATTCTGAATAACTTAAGAGACTCAAGACACTATACAGTTCAAGATGTGTGAAATACTTATGATGCCTTTCAAGTGCCTAACAAAAAGAAATGGAAGAGGTCCTCAAACTGAAGTTTCTTCCTTTTCATCTGATTTTCACAGAACACGGTGGACACACAGCAACAGAGCTACACATGTAGTGGGATATGCATGTTCTCTACATCATTCCACTTGCATTCATTAGAGGGATCACTGACATCAGCAACAGCAGTCCCTTCACCAGCAGAAAGTGTTTAACTGGCTTATACCTCATGCTGTAGCACAGCGCATTTCTTCCCTCACTTTTCAGGACAACAGCTGAGAAATCACAAGGCTTTTAGATACTGCATTCCAGTTTAAAAGTACTTAAAGGAGCAACTGCTTAGAGCTTTACTATGAAACACTTAGCATAAAAATATAACTTCCTCTATGAAGTAATCAGCATTTAACAGCATGATCCATACAGTCCAAGACTGCAAATTTGAATTTGTCTCTTGTTATTGCTCTGCCCTTATGCCTGTCCCTCACCAACACATGCTCGATTGCATAGCTCCTAGAAGTCAGTGCATAACACCAGAGGTACTGTTTTCTGTTCATGTGAAAGAGGCATTTCTCTTTTGAATATTGCAGTCCTTTCTATCATATGCTGGGTTTTTTTCTCAAACTGTTGCTACTAAAGGCAAAAAAAAACAAAACCCCCTCTCATCAGATAAGAGATATGCCCAACTAAATCTTTTCACTGAATTCCAGCTAGTCATTCCAATGCATCATATTCAAACTGCTTGTCATTTCTGAGGTTAAGCAAGCAGTAATTACTATTAAGAGACATTTGTCCCTTTTCTCTTTTTTTCCTGCAAAACTTCAATACCCCTTATGATAACCTCCATAGCCTCAAACTCTTGAATGCTTTTTGCAGTTTGCTAACCTGCTTCTTCTCTTGAGGCACTCTTCCTTCAAAGCTATGAATCAAGTCATGACACAACCTGTCAGACTTCTTTTTTAATGATCTAAATGCATTTTAACAAAACAAATTAACTTACTCAGATGCCATACAACATTCTGTAAAAAAAAAAAATATCAGACTTCTGTTCAGGGGCAGTTGTTTTCCTTTTCTTCTGCTGTACATCCTAGTGCCATCCCTTGAAAGTTCATTTCTGCCATTATCACCAGTGATAAGTCTAGTTCACTAACTTAACTGAAAGCAACAGAACTATCTGATGATGAAAATATTACCTACTACAGAATAAGGGTGGCAAAATTAGCACAGCAACAAATAGATTTGTCACAATGTCATTTTTTTCACACCGCTGTATGTCAAATCTCCATAGCAATCCATGAAGGGAATGTGAAATAGCATCACTTGATAGCTGATGTGCTATTCTTTTCTTGTAACCAGAATGCTTTTGGTTTTCAAACAGGACTTGGAGGAACCAAGTACATCTCCTTTGAAGAACGGCAGTGGCATAATGATTGCTTTAACTGCAAGAAGTGCTCTCTCTCATTAGTGGGTCGCGGCTTCCTCACGGAAAGGGATGACATCCTTTGCCCTGAATGTGGGAAGGATATTTAAAGCTCAAAATAAGAGGCGGGGAGAGGGGAGAAAAGCTGTGCTTGCAATATATAGTCTGAAACACACAGATGTTCAGAACTAGCTTTGCCACTCTGTGTTTCGCTGTACTATTAACATTACTTAACCTTTTTCTTCAAACTCTCCCAACCTGGAGGGAAAACAACTTCAAAATCTCTAGTAGCAGTGTTGGTGTTTAAGATTTCTACAGCTAACCAAAACTAATGCAAAACCTGGGATGTAAAACCATTTGGGTGTTATTGACATAACAATCTTTTTTTGGGGTTTTTTTTTTCCTTCCACTAAATATTCCAGTTACAAGCAAGTGATATAGTTCAAGGACTACAATGGCCACGCACAATACATTCATAGATGGACATTCAGGGTGAAAACCTCAGCCCGCTGAAATCAGTGGCAAACACCACTGAATTTCAATAAGGCTGTAGTCTCACCTGTGTCCTTGAGCTATGTGACTAGTGTGTGCTGCCAAGTGTGTAGAAAGACTGCGAACGTAGCAGGTGTTTCAATGTACAAGGATTTGTGTCATGCTGTAAAGAGATAATGATAAAACAGTTGAAGTGGGAGTGCTTCGTAACAGGTACATATTTTATTGCATGACTAGCTGATCATTGTGTGAAGTACAAGTTCTGATTGACAGTGTCAGTATTACAGTTAGTCGACATTACACTGCACATTGTATTTTTCAAAATAAAATCATTTAAAACAAAATTGTGATTGTGGTTTACTTGTATTTACATATTAGATATGAGTAAATAAAATGCTTTCACAGTCTGCAGAAACACAACACAAGAGCCATACAAAGAAAACCCTGTTTGCACCCAGTCATTTGAAACCATGGAGTTTAGACACTCCTCAGATGGGCCCTGCTGATGCTACATAGACTTCTGCTAACTAAAATCAGTGGGAAAATTTATCAGCAAAACTGAACATCTGTGTGAAAACACTGAATTGACTGCAGCTGATAAAAATGTGTTCATAGGCTCTAAACTCAAAACCAAAATATTGTTGTTCTCAGGAAGCAAGGAGGTCAAGACAACTCAAAAGACATTTGTCTTTGAAAAAGTCAGAAGTCTAACTTCTATACTAGGGCAAACTTTAATTTTGTTCTGTATTGCAACACGTAATACCCTTTGCTCTAGCATCATTTCTGCTACATGTTTGCTGCAAAGTCAACTGTCAGCAACAGCTTCCTAGCAGGACAATAAAATCAAGAGGAAACAATCCAAAGGAAGATAATTCTTTTCCCAAAGCAAACTTCAAGAAATACGGCCATGTTATGCAATATACAATCCTGGTACACGTTCCAGATGGAATTCATTTGTAACCAGCAAAACGAGGAAAGTAGTATGTCACACTTCCAACAGGAATCTTCACATGTGGAAAGAAGAATTAGGAATATACTTACTCTGTGTGTAACTGGGTAGGGAAAGTTTGCTTCTAATTTCTGCCACCACTTGTGAATTTGTCCCTTTTAGTACCATGTGTAAAGTGCTCACAGGTCATTCCTCTCATTAATTCAACAAGCTAAACAGATGCATCAGATCAGATTTGGTTTACTGTACACCACTTGAAGAACTTGGCTGGCTGACATTTTTGACGTGCACACCATGCTAACCTGATCTTACTGAACGACTAGATTCCATCCTTTGGTGACTTCATTCTACGATGAAGGCTGTAGTAAAGAATAGCCATAAAAATCCCTCTTATATCTGCACCTCTCAAAGGAGGGCAAGCACCTCACTCTCTCCTCTGGGGTCTGGCAATCCCCCCAGCACACTGCAGCTCTGCTCTAGAACTTTGCTGAGAGAAGAAGGATTACTATTAGCCAAGGGGGTAGTGGAAGGTAGTAAGAACAGCATGGCTTACACCTTGCCCCCCAAGCACTACAACAGACAGCAAAATGGTCCCAGATTTGGGGAAAGGTGGAACGTGACAAGGCTGGAAAGCGTACCGGCCTGAAAACAAGACAATACCATGCAATAGCAGCATCATGCTATTATTCCAGTACAGCTCTGCATATCACTCAACACACACATGCTCCTAGCAACTGAACTACAACAAAACATAGCCTAGACTCTAAACCACTGCCAAGAAGCCACCCACAAAACACAAATCCTACCAAGCTGTTACACTAGTACAAGGACCAGCGCTTCACATGAGACCAACTCCTGCTAAAAGCAGCTACTACTCCTCCAAAGTAGGTACCAAGCCTTTTACCCTGTAAGCTTTTTCTTAAGTTCTAATCACTTCAAGTCCCCTGAAATATAACCATATAAAATGAACAAGCTTAATTACACCGCAAAAACAAGTCAGCACTACTTTGTTTGCTTTTAATTGAATTTATTTAAATAGGATAAGGCTACTTAAAAGACAACTTTTTACATACAAAATGTACATTACGTTAAAGTTTGCTGTACTCAAGTACAAAAACTGCACAAGTGTTTAGTAAAAGGGAAACAGCACACAATATTTCAAAACACACATTCTTACCATTTTACAGCATTCGAGAAGTGCCTTTTATGTCATAACAGTGAATGGAGAACTTCCGTCAGTAATGAATTAAACTACAGTTTTTGGTTTCAATATTAACCAATGTTAAAAAGGTAAACAAGCTTTCGGATCACTACTGACAGTTTATTTTAGTGGGCTAAGTGGATTCAGAAGTTGATTCTTTTTTTGTTTCACTAAGTCTGGGAGTGTTATTATTATTTACCATCCATATCTAAAATGGATCTAAATTGGCTTCACCCTGAGCCACTGAGAATTAATCAAAATGTTTCCATCAGCTTAACTGGATTTCTGCCTTATAAGGCACTACCAATAATCCAGAAGAAACACCAAGTTTCACAGAAAACCAACATCCATCTTAAATCATCAAAAGAAGGGAAAACAGGTTTGGGGTTTTTTTGGGTTTTTGTTTTTAAGAGTGCAACTATACATGCTAATGATCAAGGTACTGCTTTGTCTTCCTATCCCTGTCCTTCTCCAAGTCGAGAAAGCACTGGCCTGCATTCCACAGGTTCTCCCTGTATTTTATAAGCATGACTGTAACCAGGAAAACAACCAAATTTGCTACATTGGCACATTTTTACACTTATGCATGTATAAAATATGCCTGTGTATTTAAGAGAACATGGCACTAATCCATTCACTACTTCCTCTCAAAAATTTGTATCAAACAGTCTAATAACATACTTCCATCTGTGCATTTGTTATTTCATATGTCAATAAGAGAAACTTCAATTTGAAGTAATGCTGTTAAAACAGTTCATCTCTTATTATCAACCTAACTTGCACTGTAAGTTCTACACTCCTGTGCAGCGAAAAGGAAAGAATTTTGTCTCGGACTATCTTATCAGCAGAACCGCCAGTTTTCTCATCTAAATGATTTATCTTCTTAAAGCCAAGAAGGCTCTTGGGATCACTCTGAATCTCAATAGCTATTTTAACTATTTAACCAGAAGTGGAACAAAACTGAATCTTACCGAAACAACAAAAAAAATATATATTTATATGTGTGAATCATAGTGACATGCAGGAGATGAACTATAATAATCTCAAAAACTAAAAGTGGGGGGTTTAGTATATTGTAATATTACCAGCTTTTAAAGAAGTAATGAACTACCTGGTGTACAAGAGTAGACACTTTTAAGGTGACTGGTGATAATGACTCCAGCTTTACAACAGGGAACTTTTAAACTTGTTAAAACTTCACAGCAATCTGAATCCCTGTAAGGTTTAAAAATAATTGTACTTAAATTGTTTAAATATGACTTATCTGTTTGAAAATATGGAAGTAACATTTATGTTTCAAGCACCATTAGCTACTTCACGGCCATGTAACATGCTGGATTTTCTTCTTTGCTTCCGTAGGTTTTAGGTCATTCTGGAATACAAGAAAATATATAAGTATTCTTAGATATACTACGCAAGTAGAAGTTAATTATTAACTTGCCATATTCAAATCTAGTACTGACTGTTGCTGTACTCAGTAATATGCTACTACAACAGCTTTCTATTGCCATCTTGTGGAGAAAGTTAAGTATCACAGAACTTCTCCAGAGAAGATAAAAATAAAGCCAATGAATTTAACTACCTGCGAATCATATGTCTTTTGGGTTTTCTTAATCCTATAATTGGTTATGCAAAAATATCTTTCAGTTATGCAGCTTAGAAAGAGGTACCTATTGGAGTTTCAAAACATACTTCTAAAGTTACTTCAGACTGCTGTCTTAAAATACTTGTTGAAACAGGATTGTATAAGAAAAAAAACGTACAACTAAGAAACCAATTTACTTTTGTCAGACAGTAAAAACATTAGAAAAAGAAAAGGAAAAGCTGGTCTTCCTTTGTAATGACCTGTATAAAAAAAAGTGAAACAATTGCCAAAGCCTCAGATGAACTCATCTTTCAAGCTCTGCCCCAAGAAACCAGAAAAAAAATCAAGCAAGCCCATTGTAAAACAATGGGAGATTAAGTGGTGAAATAATTTCCTTTCATCATCTATAAAAAAAAAAAAAATCTGAGAAATTAGAGCTTTAATAGTTCACACAAGCTGCGTAAAGACAGGTATATGAGTTTTCAAGAACTTTCTGCACCACACTGTTTTGGGGAGCACAATCTAAAGATCTCTCTTCTCCTTAAGAATTTCAGTGTTAGTTTACTTACAGCAATCCTGTGGATTGCAACCACTGAAAGGTTTAAGGGAATTAGACCCAAAGATCACAGGCATTGTTCTGTGCTGTTCTGCACAAGAACTTCAGTTTTTCTTGAAACTTGGTCACTTGCTTGAGAAGGCATTTATCATTACTGTCATTATACTAAAAATATATCAGGCTTTACATACTACAGCCATCTGCTAAGTGTACTGATTCCTCCTGGCTGCATCACTTATTATTCAATACCATGTTCTTTAATTTCAGGCAGTAAAGTAACATCCATACAATATACTTGCCTAACTTCAAACATGCCTGACCAACGAACAAGGCATGACTGAACTTATCGGTATTACTTGAACAACATAAACTGTGGCTAATGCAGAAAGTCAACTGTCAGAGGTCATCGCTTCTGAGTGTCAGTTACACAGTGTCACTTAAAGTGTTCACCATTGTGTCTACACAACATTTAAATTAAATATAAAGAAGCTGTGAGGTGTACGCTGAAGTTTCAAAAGCTCTGTAAGTTCAGATCTGACCAACACTTGGAAGAGTTCTAGATACTAAAATAAGTTAGTAATACTGACAGTAGGAAACACAACTCTCCAGTGTAAATTTGATTCAGGGTCTCTGCCATGATTCTTGTAAAAGTTGCCAAAGCTGTCTTTCAGAACAGCTATGTGTTTAGGTGCTCATGTTTAATAGAAGTCTGATGGAACCTACCACTCCACGCAGCAAGGGTATTACTTGCATTCTTTCATGAAAGGATTTTTAAAAAAAGAGATTAATGGAAAGCATTTCATGAGGCAATACTGAGAAAACAGAAGTTAGGTTTGGTGTCCTGGGAAAATTTTAAATCAATGTAATTGCACACTGCATATCTAAGGCTCCCCCTGCAGTTCAACTGAGAACAGATATTTCTATTTCTTCCTTTGAAGCCCAGACTTATTCCAGATATTCCCATATTTCAGTAGAAACGTGAAAATTCCTTCATTTGTATCATGATGGAATATACCAATATAAGACTTATCCCTACCTCACAGTATGTTTTAAAGAGGAGATGGCCCATTGCTCCTTGCTCACTGACAAGCCCCTAAAGACTAATCACACCTTTGTCAAAAATAACCACTGTTCCATCTTTCTCTCCAACTGGCAGCTACATTCAGCACCATTACCTACACTTTCAAAGACAGGCCCTGCTGAATTCATATAACCTGCATTAGCTCTTCTCTCACCACGTCAGCTCACCAGTCTCATTCTGCCGCCATCTGTAATGTAGTTCTCCACAGAAAATTTGTTTGTAGCTGAACCTAACTTGCAGAAAGAAGGTAACTATTTACCTTTATGGTTAACACCTCAGCCATCAGTCTTCTACCTGAGAACAGCACCCTTCTGTTCAAGATCTCAGCATGTCTTTCTCATCATCTTATAGAAGCCCAGGCACCGGAAGAAGATCACTGTGGCTCAAAATGAGCACTTGACCTCTGGCCTCTCCCTTCAACTAGTATGGTTTGTTGTTATGCCTTCTCATTCAGACCCACAATCTAGGCAGCTCTCCAGATTTTCACATCCAGTTCCTTCCTCTAGCTTGCCAATTCCTATGTGAGATTTAAAACAGATGGCGTTCTTCCTCTAAGGATATATTCTACAGCTCTCAGCATCTCACTTCAGTTCCTGTAACATCTCTTCCTTCACTTTGACAAATGAAAGCTTGTCCTACTCAACCGTTCAAGTGTGATTGTTACAAATGTTATGATTCCATTTTTTCCTTCCCTACTACAGAAAACAGACCACTTGTCCTCCCTTTAAGGCTGTTTGTGTTGTTCTGTAACACCTGTTCTCTCTCTCAGACCTACCAGTAGGATTATTTTGTTTGTGTTTGAGACTGCTACCAGCACCACCGTAAGTATCACCTACTTACTCATTTTAAAATTACATGCATGCTTTCTACAAAGCTGCCTCTCTCACACACAAGTTTCCCATGGACAAGTACAAAGTACTTCATTTCCTTCCTTCTAATCTTTCCCAAACCAGCTACTCTTTTGCCTGCTTCTAAATACAGACTCTACTATTACTCCAAAATAAAATAATCCTGAAAACTCTTACAAGTGTCTACCTTTGGTTCCTGCATTTCAATTAAAAAAAAAGCTGCAAAACAAGATACTGAATGTACATACCGGCAAATCAGATTCTTCTTTTGGAACAGCTCTCTTTAACTTCACAACAGTAGTTCCTGCTACTGGAGACAAAGGGTACGCCTTCAGACTAGCCAACACACTGCTGTTAGTCTTTGAAACATTGTTCTGCTTAGCCTCATTATTCCTCATTCCCAGTTTAGTGTCCTCTGATAAACTGGAGGCTGAAACGTATGTTGAGGCATTTGAAGGAACTGATAATCTTCTAACAGTGTTGGTGGTGCTTCCAGCTGGAGGAGGTTTTAGGCGATCAGCAGCTCCATTCTCTGTCTTCTTCACCTTTATGCTTGTACTCGTTGAATTGCCATCAAACACAATTAGTGGCCGTTTCCTTAAACCTTCCACTGTTGTAACACTGAAAATACAAATTGTAAAATTCTCAGAAACACAAGCTAGGTGATCCAAAAAAAGCATATCCAAGACAGGAGTAGTGAAAATGAATTTAATCCTGCCTGAAGTAAAAATATGTCCCAAAATACTAACCTTAAAGTCTTAGCTGCTCCAAACTTTGGCAACAGAAATTGCTTCCAAAATATAAAGGGGTGAAGGGGGCAGGGTGTTGTCTGAGGAACAGTGCTCCTCAGCAAAGAGGGTTGTGTGAGGAACTTTCTAGGCAGACAGTTACAGTTGTACAACCAAAGACTGTATGCTTATAGCCCTGTAGCTATTCCAGGGTAACTAGAGATAATAGCTGTTAAGCATTTCAAAAGGTGACTATTGAGAAAGCATGTGCCACCTTACCTACAAGAACAGCATCTAGTAATCTGATGCTTCTGAATCTCCCTGTTTCCACTCTTATTCAAAATCCTAACATTAAGATAGTCTAAAAGACTGTTAGACAAGGAATAAAAACGTTAAGCAGAAAAAACATACCTGTTTTTGAAATAAGTTGGTTTTGAACAGGAACCCTAAGCTGATTTAATGACTTTTTTGTTTTGTTTTTAGTAGTTTGTGTCTTTAAGCCTATGTGTAGATCAGAGCTGACCAATTTAGTAACAACTGATTCATAAAAAAAGGAATACTATCAAGTTAATATCAAAACAGTAGTATCAGGAAACATCCTGACTGCCAAAAATTAAAGCACAAAGTTATCATAGCTCACTCTACATGAAGTTAGAGTTTTAAAAAAGCACTGCTCAAGAACGACAAAGAGAAAGTGTTTGGAAAGCACAGATTTAACAAATAAAAAAACCAAACCACCATTAAGTTATATAATATTGCTGTTCAGAAACTTGAGCTTTCAGTACACACTGTTTAATCATCTCATACTAAACAGAGGAATAAAAGTTGAACTATAGTGTTTTCAACAATTAAATGTATTCATTAATTTGTAATTAATGAATTTGACAATATTGATGTTAGGTATCTCAACAGACTTCAAAATAAGCCCCAAGCAGAGACTCGATTCATTTGACTTGGAACAACATTAGATTAGTAGCTGCTGATAAACCTCACATATTAAGAAATTACACATTGCTTGCACAATTTCTGTCAAGACCGGGGTTACTTTAAAAAGAATGGAAGGAGTCACAATTTAAGAGCTCGTAGAGCAAGAGAAAGCTCAGCTCTTACTCAGATTTGCTTCTACATTACTATCTGTTCACAACAACATATGTCACATAATCCTCCTCTTTTTCTATTCATCGGTTCCCAGAACTGATAGAGACAAAGAGAGACCTTCAATTCATTTGGGACTTGTTTGTCAAGAGATCAGACACAACTCTTTCATTTGTATCTACAGTAGATGCGGTTTCTAGGAGAGCTTCTACAAAATGAAATTAGCTTCCAAGACTAGGAGTGTTCAGCCAGGCATGTTGTTTTAGTTAAATACTACTGAAACAATAGTGTTTAACACATCCATTAGATTAAGTAGTATAATTTCACTTGAAAAGCCTAAAAAAGCTGACACACACTTCAAAAATAAAACATGATACTTTTTGCTCACTTCAGCTTTGTCCAAGAATTTATTCAATGCTCCTGAGAAGGAACACATTGCCCATAGCCTTTTTGGAAAGCTAATTTACAAACTATGTGAAAGAAAAGGGTTTATACCTTTTTTCCATCACCTTCCTTAACATAATAAGTCTGCTTTTCCTATGGAGTGGTTTTTTGGTCAGTTTTTGGGGTTTGGTTTTTTGGGGGTTTTGGTTTTTGTTGTTTTTGTTTTTTTTTTTAATTCAGCTTGATGAAGACTGGCAAGTTAGGAACTAACTGCAATTCTAGGAGGACTGTTATCTATTCTAAACTGAATTTTAGAATTGTAGCACTTGTACAAATGACCACATGCTACAATACAGATAACATTCCCAGAGAATCACTTTGGGAAAGTTCCAAAATGCTGTACCATCAAGAACCGTCACATGTAATGTTTAGATACATGGCTCACAGAAGAACACAGAACCTTGGGTGTGACATTCACTTTCTTTATATAAAGTACAGGGAGCTTAAAAGCTTCAGAGTTGGACTCATGTTAGCCCGCACTCTTCTGAGGGAGGACGCTGACACTAGCTAACGGCTGAAAAGCACCATTTTGGGATCATGTCCCCTCCTGCAGGGCACTCTCTGTGAAACCTGAATTTCAATGTGCATCTCCTACATCCTAGAGAAATGTTCTAGCCACACTTTGGGCCAGGCTGGACAGAGGGCATGCTGTAATCCTGCTGTTTACTTTGTAGCGCATGGTAAAGAATACAAGATTTACTAGAGGAAGCAAAAGCTTCTCTACCTGAGCAATCTGGGTTTCCACTGTTTCACATGATTACTCAGGTAGTCAGGATGGACTCTGAGCAACTCCTGATTATGAGGGCAATTTAATGAAAAACACTCCTATTCTTGTCTAGCTTAGCCTGGTACTTAAGGTAGCACCCTAAAAACAGAGAGAAGTGTAGGTTTTAGCTCCCACCTCCCGATTATCCTAAATATTCACCTGGTACCAAAACAGGCAGGTGATCACCTCTTCTGTGAATCTCTGAAACTGGTCAGAAGTACCATGTTTTACACTGAACTCAGTATTAACGCATTAGCAGTTCTCAGAGGATGCCGAAGCAGCTTCTCAGGTGACTAAGGAGAAATTATGAGCTCTACCAAGGCCACAGCGCTCCTGGAAACTGAGAGTTTGCAGGCGAGAGTCTTCAGACTTGATGGCACTTCAGAAACTACAGATACATTTTGAGATTCATACCATCCTCTTTCTTCCAGGAGGCAAGATGGTCTTATAGATCTACAAAATTAACTGTACCTGAACACAAATACTTTCTGAAATGTTTGAAGTTGGATAGACTGCATTTGTTTGTATTTGGATGATTGTCTGTAAGCTCAAATATTCAGTAATAGGATGTATAAACCATCATCTCTGACCTCAGATATTTGATTGTATTGAGGTATAACACGTTACTGCAGCTCAGCCAATATACAGCAAGTCTTTTAGGACATGCCATCAATCTCCAGCAGTAAAACTAAACACAATATTCAACACTGACTTTTAAAATTTCAGTGTGTTTCTATCTCCTATCTGTAACTACCAGAGGCCTACCAACACACACTGAGCTGTGCTGATCAAGTCTCCAAGCCTCATATTAATTCTAGCGTTGTAAAGCTGTGCTTTCCACAGAAGAACGCATCAGAAAGCTCCTGTTGTTCACAAGATCAATCAGTTTATCTGACTTCCAAACCAAACTAACAGCACACTTAGTTCCCATCTCTGACTTGCACATAACTTACCGCCTCACAATACCTAGGAATTTTGGTTTGTTTTTAAAAACAAGAATGGCAAGTTCTACTTCCTCCTCTGCACAATGACATTGTGCCAGTTCTGCTTAAGTGGTGCACACAACTATGAGAAGTGTAATATTTTAACATCCAAAAAGATGATTGAACTTCCTTGATTCTTTCTGTGAATATACTAAAAGTGAAGTTTTCTCTGTACAACTTTTTACTTGCTGAAAGTCTATTTCTCCCATTTCCTGGGGCTAGTAACACTAGCAGTAAAAGATTAACTTTTCTAGACAGTATTTTGCCAGCATACTTATTAAGTATGAAAGATGTAATACAAGCAAAACCAGTAACTGCTGGAAAATCTTAAAACTGCCTAACAGAGCAAAAGACTAAGCCCAGTATGCTAGATGTTAAGTGCTAAGAGCAACTGGTAAAGAAAAGCAGACTGGTAGATTAAACATATCTCCTTTTACTTATTATTTTCCCAGCAATACTACACAGGTTTAACCGTTACTGAATTTTAGTGTACCAAACTAAGAGCCCCTAAACGTATTCTACATAAACTCTAGATGAAGCCATTCTCCCATTTAAAAATTAACATTGTCTCCTCCAAAACACATCCAGCCTGCCATCTTTATTTCTATGATAAAAAATTCTTTTGCACCTATTTCAGCACACCAACAGTGTCTCATTATTCAAACATGAACGTTCTACTTCCATCTTCAAGTTGCAAGTTGTAAACAAACCGACGTACTATTACTTTTTATGCACATGGAAAAAAAAAACCTGACAATAACAGGACAACTCAGTGTCCTAGCCACTGCTAATGTTTTTAAAAATTAACAAAACAAAACAAAAAAAATAAATCACTTGACAGAATTTGTTTAGCTCTTCCCAGTTAGAAACCTTAGTAAAGCTAAAACAGACTCACGAAATCAACGAGCTTTAATACTGCAAAACTATAATGAGAATTTCCATCCACCTTTCCTTAGGGTTTACTGCTGAAGTTAAATCAGAACACCACCTATCATGCACATCAGACATCAAAATCAAAGTCTTGGGCAGGGGGAAGTTCAGGAGGAAAAGAGATTCGATAAAATAAACTCTTGAGGAAGATTTTGTTTTCTAATCAAATACAAATGAAAGATTTTTAAAAGGCAGAATGTTTGTTTCAGAAAGCAGATGTTAGTTTTGAATTGGACACACAAAACTGCTGCAGCATACACCCCTGACTCTAGAGTAGACCACCCCTGTCCAAGGACCAAGCATAATTAAACATGCTTTTGGTACTTTTCTTAAGCACTGTAAAAATTATTATTAAACAATTATATGGCGAAACAAAAAATAATTAAACTTTCTTCATTATAAAGTACCATGAAATCTACCAGTAACCCTGTATCAATACAGGCTGGGAGATGAAGGGATTGAGAGCAGCCCTGCAGAGAAGGATTTGGGTGTACTGGTGGATGAAAAGCTGGACATGCACCAGCAGTGTGCACTTGCAGCCCAGAAAGCCAACCGTACCCTGGGCTGCATCACAAGCAGCGTGGCCAGCAGGTCGAGGGAGGGGATTCTGCCCCTCTGCTCTGCTCTGGTGAGACCCCACCTGCAGTTCTGCGTCCAGCTCTGGGGTCCTCAGCACAGGAGAGACATGGACCTGTTGGAGCAGGTCCAGAGGAGGGCCATGAAACGGTCAGAGGGCTGGAACACCTCTCCTATTACACGGAAAGGCTGAGTTGGGGTTGTTCAGTCTGGAGAAGAGAAGGCTCTGGAGAGACCTTATTGCACCCTTTCAGTACTTAAAAAAAACTCATAAGAAAGATGGGGACAGAGTTTTTAGTAGGGTCTGTAGCAACAGGAGAAGAGGTAATGGTTTTAAACTACAAGAGGGTAGATTCAGACTAGATGTAAGGATTAAATTTATTATGATGAGGATGGTGAAACCCTGGCCCAGGTTGCCCAGAGAGGTGGCAGATGCCCCATCCCTGGAAACATTCAAGGTCAGGTTGGACGGGGGTCTCAGCAACCTGATGGAGTTGAAGATGTCCCTGGTCATTGCAGGGGGGTTGGACTAGGTGACCTTTAAAGGTCCCTTCCAACCCAAACCATTCTATGGTTCTCTGAAAAGAAGCACTATAAGCTGGATACCATTAATAACATTTGGATAACAAAAAAATATTATCTTCCCCTTTTTCCTATTATTGCAGTAGTAGACTCTAACACTTCTAACACAGGAGACCTGACATGGCATTCTCTGTAAACTGTGACAACATCCAAAAGCTGTATAAGTTTCAGGCAAACAAAGCTTGAACTAAATGCACTGTCCTAAATTCTCCAAGTCTAGCTCAATAAAAGCTAAGTTACCTTTTATTCTCACTTTTCAACTCATTTTGCTGTCTTTTCTTTTCCATCATTTTCCCCCATCTACTTTTTGGTAAGTCACGCTGAGGCAGGGGAATGGCATGTTGAATATAGAGATTAGTGAGACCATCTTTGTCCATCTTTACATCATTTTCGACTAGTATATTTTTCTGTGGGGAACAGAAAAAAAAGTTATTAAGACAAATTCAAAGCACAAGCATCTTAGTGGCATAATTTCTTTTTTCAAAAGCCAGTTTAAGGTAGTGTATTGGGCATAAATGCCGGGTTTTCGAAGTGAGGGGGCTGCAGTGGTGACCGGCGTGGAGGTCACAAACTGCTCCGTGCCAATGACAGCCTGGTCTCCTGCCTTCCTACTGCCAACTTCCCTTGTTTTCTGTGTGGATTACACTCAGTCCCTCCCTTCAGTGAGGCAACGGGAAATGCAGGATGTTTGGGTCAGTGCATAGTGGTTTCTTTTTCCACTACCTGCAAGTGCATCTCTTAACATATCGCCTCATGCGCCTCCGTCCGTGCATCTTTTTGTGTCTCCTGCCCCTGATGGCTGCTGCTCTTTGTTAAGTGCACTTGAACACAGGTGCCATGAGCTCCTCTGCTTGAAACTCTGGTGTGTGATGGGCTGTCTTCATCAGTGTCAGAGACAGCTGGATCCAGCTGCGACCAGTACTGGGCAGTTCATCACCTTTGCCCACACAGGTCAACTCTGCAGCCCCTCCCTGTCCAAAACTCTACAATTTTTCCAATACAAATAGCAGCAAAAACAAGGAAAAAGTTATGATAGACATACTGTTGATAACTGATGTTTTCATGCACTCTTAAACACAATTCCCTGAATCCAACTACAATGCCAGAGCTCTTCTTCACACTTTTAAAAAACAGGCAACTAGAACACAACGCAGTTCAAACTTACAGATGTAGAGCCGTGCTTCCTTCCCCAGTTCCCCAAAAATAAGTTGTGAGGGGAGATTTCTAGTAACTGTCAGTTATAACAAAACAACAAGTTTTTTTCTTATCGTGTAAAGGGTTGCGAAAACAAAACTTCTTGGTACCTCCTGACAAATTTATTAAAAGAGAAAAAAACCCACTAACTTCCTACAAACTAGAGGTCACTGAAAGCAGGTCAAGTCTCTGCCACAGCTGGTTTTGGCAACACTTCACGACTTCTGATGTGGGCCTAAAACCTGTACATTTTTGTCCACGTAAACTACATGGACAAGAGTACACAAAAATTCAGCAAGCTCATACAAAAACCTAGAACTTTGATTACTATTGTTTCATGCACCTAAACTTTTCTGGCAAGGTGGTAGCAAGCATTCCAAATCACACCAACTGAAGCTTCATATGGTCCAAAACTCTTTATAACTCACTTCCAAACCCCCCTTTTTTTTTTTACAATTATGCATACTTGAGCATTAGCTTGACTGATTACGTAGGATGCATTTCCTTAATCAACTGGGGATGAACGTGACACCTGTAACAAAGTAAAGGTGATCTTTCCACAGGTACTTTTACTGTATGCAAACGCTGTCTCACAGCCATGCTGATTTGGGTAGATTATTCTTTAGCATCTACAGCGTTCGAAAACAGCCCCTTTGCAAACACGGAGACACCTCTCACGCTACGGGCCTCCTCTAAACAAACACCTATGGAGAATCGACCTGCGTTTTGTTAGGTTTTTTTGTATTTTTTTTTCCTGAACGCTCTCTTGCGCGCTCCTTAAGGCCTGGAAACGGCGGGACGACCGCGAGAAAACCTCCCGGATAGGTAACGAGGGAAGGCAGGATCTTCCCCGCGGAGTAAAGCGGAAAAACAAACAGGGCGGCTCTAACACGGAGGGGAGACACGACAACGAGCTAGGCCCACCATCACCCCCCCCGGGGCCGGGTCGGTTCCCGGGCTCACCTGCTCCAGCGTGAGGAGCAGGAACTCCTCCGAGAGCAGCTCCGGGTGCAGCAGCAGCTCCGAGTCCGGACGCCCCGATCCCCGCTCCTCCTTACCGCCGCCCACCCGCTCCCTTCCCTGCGCCGCCATCTTCTTTCCCCTCCCCCCTCCCCGCCCCGCCGGCCACTTTTCCGCTTTCCCACAATGCCGCGCGGGAAGGGACGCCAGGCGCGGTGACGTCAGCGGCGGCGAGGGGCGGGGCTCTTTTACCCGGTGTTCCCGCTGGTAAGTGGGTGGGACGGAGCCGCTATTGGGCCGGCTGCCCCTCCCACGTGACCGGAAGGGCCCGCGCCACACCGGAAGCGGCGCGGCCGTCCTTCCGTCTTGGAGAGCGCGGCCTGAGGCGGCGCCGGGCCCCGGCCCCCGGCCCTGTCACCGCTCCAAGGCCGCCTCGATAAGCGGCGGGCCCGGACTCCCGGTGTGGCGGTGGCAGGTGCTGGGGGAACGGCCTGAGCGGGTGGAGAGGTTCCGTCGCCTTTGCGCTGAGGCGGGGAGCGGTCGCTGCCGGGCCTGGTTTACGCCGCCCGCTGCGGGGTGTGTGTGAGGGGGGGACGGGGGTGAGGGGAACGGCGGCGGGGTGAGGTCCATCCCCGTCCTGCCGGGGGCTGGAGCGGGCCGGCGCCACCCGTCTGTGGAATGGCATCCAGGAGTTAATTAGAGCGTGGACGCGGTTAATTGGACGGGGTGGAGGAGCGCGTCTGCGTGAGCGAGCGGTGCGGAGGGGAGGGAGGGAGGGAGGGTGCTGGTTTGCAGGGCAGCAGCGGCAGCAAACAAAACGTGAACGCAAAGCGAGGTGTTACCTAACAAAAGTGGGGGAGAGCTGCCTTCCCCTTTTTGCTGGAAACGACTGCCTGCGGGGTTATCGGTGCACTTAAGAAAATGAAACGTAGCAGGCTGATTGTTTGCTTGCCTACTGATTATTTTTTGACAGCAGACATTCCCATTATCTTGCTTTCCGGAGTTCTGAACATCTGAAAAGTAGCACACTACTGACTTCCTTTGGTAACTCTGGGGTGGCCTCTTGCACTTTAAAGGAACAGCATGTTCCGCAAAACATGTTTCTTCGTGGTGTGTGCAGGCCCCGAAGCTCTTACTAATGAGAACAAAATAACTGTTAAAACAAATCACATGCAGATTATGTGTGTTGATGATGGTTGTTCTTAAAAGCTTTTCTCACAGTTTTTTTCTAGCATGAATGTTTTTATTTCTTTGCTACCAGACTTATGTCGTACTGTGTGATTTTTTGTTCTTTCTGCTTGGGGATGGTGTATCTATTTTGATTTTCTTTTATACTTTTACTCATCATCTGCTTTCATTTAGTAAGTTTTTTGGAGGTTTTTAATACATCTTGGTTAGAGCAAAATTCTGTAGTTCTCCCAATGCCACGCATTAACATTTTTACCCTGGGCTACAGGAATGTTAAGTTGTTCACAGCTTCAGGAGCGAAAGCTGCCTAACCTCTCCAGACAATAGTTTATCAGTTCAGGATACACCCAGGCCCTTAAAAACGGTTGGGTTTTTTTTGGCAGTCAACCTTTGGGCAGCCCTCTTTATCTTAATACACGGTGTTTACTTTGATAATGTTGGAGGATAACATGGCTGTCTTGCCAGAGACTTGCATTATCACTTCACCTTAGGCTATTTCTCTAGTACTTCCTGGGTTTGGCTGGTTGGGGTTTTTTGTTGTTGAAGGTCAGAACACTAATTTACACCCCAGGTGAGGATGCAATTTGATAATATAATGGAAGCCCAAACTAAAATCTTTTTAACTTCTGAAAAAAACCAGGAAGTTCTTGGATAAAAGTTCACTACTGTCTCTTGGTAACATGGTTTGCTTCTGGCTATATTCTTGGTTCTGTCTAAGTTTACTTAAAGGTTATTTCTGAGTTGTCTACCTTACTTTTTTTCTACTCAGTTTTGGAAATTTTTGCCATGGTTTTCAATGTTCTCTTACAAAAGCAAAGGGGGGTTTTAGATGTAATAATTTGAAACTATATTCATTTTGACTATGTTTAGTTTTGTTCACAAGAGCATTTTGTTGATGTTGGTTTCTCTGTTGGTCCACAGAAATTTCATTTGATGCTTTATATCTCCATTGTACGTGTGGACTAGCAGTAATTGTTATTTCTTAAATCCGTTCAAGATGTTTAGTGTTATGTCTTCCCCTGTGTTGGCTAAGCGGTCCTTACAGACCAGTCATGACAAATTAAAAGGTGATTAAACAAGGTCAGCAATTTCTCATTTGCTGTTCTTTGGAGTGTTGAGCACAGCTGTCTGCTGGTTTCTTATAAAAACAATGCAAGTCTGGAGTACAGTAAAATTACACAGATTGTTTTTAAAAATACTATTAATTGCTTTATAGATTGCATCTGTCCCTTGACAGTGCTTGATTGCAAAAGGGTAGGTATGGTTTGTAGAATGAATATTAGAAGTGCTGCTTACCACTTACAGACATCCTTCTGGAATAGTTGTGATAGTAGAGAACAGAAACTCTTAATTTCTGTGGCACTGCATCTTGAGCTTAATGAATGCTTTATGGACCATGCTTCCAAATTTGCTGTGTGAATGTGCTTTGTAACTGCTGGTGCATATAGTCTGATACAGAGAATGTGTAAGTAGCACTGAATAAAACAGACACCCTGCAGATACTAAAAAAGAACCAACAAACCAACCAGCAACTTTTCTTATGAGTTGGATGATACCTTGCATAAATTATTATTATTTAAACAGCTTGGAAGTTACATATTTCTGATTGCTGAAGAGTAAGGAATGTACAGTATGTGTTAAAATGGAATATGCCTATATTTCACTAGGAGACTGTACTAATAGGCCCAAATTTAGTGTAAAGCAACGTGAGATGTTAACTTGTAGCACTAAATGCCTTGTGCCTTCCCTAGAAATCTTGAGAGCCGAAGCTTGTATCTTTCCATGTACAGGTTATAGAAACCTTTATGTGAGAGGTTTATAAATCACTAAATACTGGCAAGAACAACTTGTAGTGCCAGAGTATCTGAGAGCGCCGATAATATGCTGGTTGCTTGTGGAGAAAGCATCACTTCAAAATAGCTGGGTGCTGTTGTGAATCTGCTTCAGAATACACTTGAAGTGGAAGCATACAATTCGATTTATTTCTGTGTTTATTAATGTGCTCATTCTGGCTTGTGTAATCAGGTTGGAAATAGACTATAGAGTATTGAAAAATGCAACAATGGATTTTTTGTACTGGTGAATGTTAAATTTGATATTTGAGTATGCGTCTGGAAGTAAGTAGTGGGGTTTTTTTCTCTTTAATCAGATCACCCAGAAGACACAATGAGCGTCAAAGCTTTCAAGCTCGTTTCTGCTGTTGAGCGGGAGATGTTAATGGGAGACAAGAATTACATCAACATTGAATGCATTGAGTGTTGTGGAAAGAACCTCTATATTGGAACCAATGACTGCTTTATCTATCACTTTCTGTTGGATGAAAAGGTATCAGCAGCTGGAAAAATAACTTTTGCTGCCACCAAGCAACTGCATAAATACCTGGGCTTGAAGAAGCCTGTGAGTGAGTTGAAAGCGGCCTCTGCCCTCACCAGGCTTCTTGTGCTTTGCGACAACACAATAACACTAGTTAACATGATGAACTTGGAACCTGTCCCCACTGGCGCTAGAATCAAAGGAGCTGTGACATTCTCATTAAATGAAAACCCTGTGAGTGGGGATCCTTTTTGTGTCGAAGTCTGCATTATCTCAGTCAAGCGGCGGACCATTCAAATGTTCATGGTGTTTGAAGACAGAGTCCAGATAGTGAAGGAAGTGTTTACTCCAGAGCAACCCTGTGCCGTGGCTGTAGATGGTTATTACTTATGTCTTGCACTTACTACACAGTATATCATTTTGAATTATAATACTGGCGTCTCCCAGGATCTATTTCCTTATTGCAGTGATGAGAAACGGCCAATTGTGAAAAGGATAGGCAGACAAGAGTTTCTGTTGGCTGGCCCCGGAGGCCTAGGTGAGACTAAGGATTGTAATTTTTTTAACTTCTCTCTTTAATTTCTCTCCATTTGGGAAGCAAAGCTTAACTAATATAAGTGTTGTGCACAATAATGATAATTTTCTTCACAGGGCTATACTGGAATGTTGAGAGAAAAAGGTAGATGATAAATTTTTGGTACTAAGCATTATTATAACTCCCCTACTTTTTTTAATGCACAAAAATCTGATTATTTGTAATTTAATCATGTCTGTAGAAAGTTTCATTTCTGTATAGAGAGCTAACAGCAGTAGTGTCTTGCAGCCCAGAGTAAAAAGGTTGGTTGGTACCAAGTGAAACTTCAGAGACTGACAGCCTCTCTGTAGTGACTAGCTGGACTGGGTTTGAGGAGCGTGATGTTGCTATAGAACTGTTAAATTAGTGTAGATGAGTTATTTTTTCCTCAGTTGCTATTGAGAGGCGTTCATACAAAGTCCATTTTATAGACTGTAACAGGTTCACAAATAGGTATGTTGTACTACAGTGCTAATAATAAATGTTAGTGGCAGTAAGCTGTATCCTAATTCCTGTAGAATTAAACTCTGTCCTAACTGTAGATGTTGTCAGATACTACCTATTTTTTATGCTCCCGTTTGCTTAATTTTTTTAATAGTATTTTTCAGCTCCGTATTACAGAAAATGATAGTTTACATATTGCAAAACCAAAGTTAAATTATGTGAAATAATGCTGCTGTCTAATAGACAGATGATTGTAAGGACTACTGCTGCTGTAATCTGTCTAAATCAACAATATGCTGTGAGGTCAGTAATCTTGAGCTTTTTTTGGAAAAGCTGCAATATCCCAGAGCTGACAGACCACAGGCAGAATGCTTTCGTGCTGTTTGCCATATGACTCTCCATTTAGGAGATGCAGCTTGTGTATCTTCCCTGACACATTAAAAATAGCATGACACAAAGATCACAGCTATTTAGGCCCTTAATTCAGGGACCTGCATCGGTTTGGGCATTTTAATATCAATTCCAAAGTAGAGTAAGGGTGCAATCAGTTGTTTATATTGAAGTTTTGTCTTGTGACCAGAATGCGAGATGTTCATCAACTCACCAGTTTTTCTTGAAAGAAGTACAGACTCATTAGAATATCAGTTTATGCAAATTAAAGATGTTCCAAGATGAACTTGTTTTTTTCAGACATAGGGCTTTTCTAAGTCACCTCGGTTGCCTGCTTCTTATTAAAACTGTTAGTTGCTTTAAATGTGGACATGTATTTGTGGACATTAACCATTTTAGTAGTGCTGTGAAAGTTAAAATTTGTGAATTGACTCTCTGAAAGTATTCCCTTTTGACATGTTTCTAAGGAGATCCCATTCTTACTCTAATCTTTATTTATCTTTTTAGGAATGTCAAACCAGATTCTGTTCAAGTGGTTCATTTCTTTTATGATTTAAGAAGAATAGATACACTTTCAAAAGCATAATTGTATTTAGTCAGAAAGCAGAATTTTATTTAGTCTGTCTTTTGCTTTTATCTGGTGTCCTGGAAGAGAGCTATACAATAAGACCTTTACTCATGAAATCCAACATCCTTGTATAAGTAGATTGTCCTGGGGTTAGTATATCAGGTATGTGGTATCTTAAGCAAATGCACTTCTGCAGCTCTAAACTATAAACTTCCATTTTCCTCATAATACAGGCAAAGTCTATCTTCTGCTAGCTCAGAAACCTTTCAAAGACTGCTTGCTATGGATTGCATAGTCTTTCCTTGCCTAATTCAGCTTGGGGGGGGGGGGGTACTACCTGTCCTCTATACCCTCCCCACTGTTGTTTTGACTAGTATAATCCATCTTGCTGTTCCTCCTTGGTGAAATTCGTAGTGTCTTTAACACTTGTCTCTTCAAAGTTGTGAAGATGCTTGAGCACCTTTATAATATATAAGCATTGTGTATCTTGGCATTTGAGGTAGGCCTCTGCTATAATGTGAATGGACTTGAAAAGGCTTGATGTAAATCTTCAGTTCTAATTTTAGTTTGCTTTTGTATGTCTTGCTGGTAAAGACATGTTCGTTTGGCACTTGCTAGAGCATCTGTGCTAAATTCAGCCTCTCTTACTGAGGTGGATGTATTCTGCATTAATGTATTTGGCTTTATAGTGTTTGAAGTGACACTGATTTAGATTAATTTGCTTTTGAGTTAAGACTGGAATTTAGAATGACAGAAAGCAACTGCTTAAAATGGTAATCGTAAAGTAAAACATCTTTGAGTTTCTTGGGTATATAACCTGTTTCCTTACCTGGACTCTTTGCATTTAAAACTGGTTATAGTTGATGCATAGATTAGCCATTTGGTACTTTGTTGGCTCTACTTGCAGTTAGTGTATAGCTCATTCTTTCAAAGGGAGGAGGAACTTCATTTTTGATGCATCTTCATTCTGTGCAGTAATTAGTTCAATTGGAATTGAAAATCAGTTCTTTCTGATTGTGTGTGAAACTATGCTTACCAACATTCAGTTTTTCATGTCATGAAGCTCTTGTTGCATGTTTCTAATCAGATTTCCTGCCGTACAGAGGCTTTAAGTTTTCAAAATTTCAGCATGCAGTTCTTGCATATTGGCACAGGACACGCTTCTGAGCAACTGCCCCAAAACATCAGAGGCCTCGACTCAGACCAAGCTCCCAAGGGAGGGTGCAGCTCTTCAGGTCTTGAGCTGAAGGGAGTGCCTGGTGCCTCTTCCTGAGATTGGGGCAAGGGGAAGTTTTGTCCTCACCTGCAGGAGATGAGTGCTTGGTTGAGGATTTTTGCCAAGTAAAGCAGATGCAGGAGGAGGTCAGCACAGTGCATGGCATCAGAGATGACAAAAAGAAAATTGAATCTTCTCCAGGATCCGGGCGTGAGCTGGTACCCCCAACCTGCGGAGGGAAGGGCAGGCTGTCTCTGCTTGTTCTGTGATGGCAAAGGCTGGAAACTTGTGACTTCTCGTGAAAGGAAGAATTCTCCTTCTCTGCCTGCAGATCTGCATCTATAGGGTATGTTCAGTGCTCTGGTAGCAGATGAGAAGCAGGAAGCTCTGTCCAGCAGATGATCTGAGCCTGTACAATGCAGTAGCACAACCAGTGAGTAATAGTAGTGGGAGACTTCCTCATATTGGAGATGGAGGTTTTCTCATCAGTCCTGCTGGTGAGGGAGAACAGCTTGAGGAGGAGTGGGTGGATCATGCAGGTCACCAACTGATTGCACAGCTCGTGGTGATGGGGGATTTGGCTTTTATGACTATGGATCTCTATTTAAGGATTTAAGGGGGACACTTGAACCACTTCAGGACAGCAGACTTTGGTTTGCTCAGGATCTGCTTAGAAGAATCTCATGGGATATGGTCCTGGAGAGAAGCACTGCCTCACTAAGTGAGTGGAGAGGCTGAGAAAGCTGGGACTGTTCAGTCTGAAGAAGAAAATGCTTTCAGAGATCTTGCCAACGTGGGGGGGAAGGGGGAGATGTGCACGGGTAAAGAAGACAGAGCCAGAGTCTGCTCAGTGGTATTGTACCCAGTGAAAGGATGAGAGGATTTCAGTCGGTACAAACTGAAATACAGGAAATTTTACATAAATATAAGAAAACAAATTCCTTATTGTGATGGTACTCAAACCAGGAAACAGGTCTTGGAGAGGATGCGGAGTCTCTGTTCTTAGAGACACTCAAAACCTGACTGGGCAAAGTCTTGAGCAACCTGTTCTAGCTGACCCTGATTTGAGCAGGGAAGTTGGACTAGACAGTCTCCAGAGGTCCCTTCCTGATTCAACTATTCCATTACTTTAATGAGTAAAAAACCCCAAATTTTAAATACCTAATTTTAGTTTATTCCTTTTGCTTTTCCAGAATAAACTCTTCAGTGGTGCATGGTTTGAACAGTTGTATAGTGATTGAGTAGACTACAAATGGAAGTGGAGAACTGAGCCTTATAACTTATAAAAAGCGTACAGGTACTAAGCAGAATGATTCACAGAAGGTTATGCAGTGCCTTTTCTCATAGCTGATGAAACTACATGAAGCAGGATAGTCAGCAGTAACCAGCATGTTCCTTTCTTGTTTTCACCCACTGATAGTGTTCCTCGTAAGTTTTCATGTTCCTTTTTAAACAAGTAATAATAATAAAGAAGTTTTATTTCAGCTTTTAGAGATACTTTCACTAAGAAGCTTTTTGTTTTAAAATAAATAAACAAAATCTACAGTCTATTGCACGAAGTCCTGAGTAACCTGATCTAAGTTGGTCCCGCTGAATGTCATTCAGAAAACCCTTCTGACTTCAGTTATTCTATGATTCTATAAATTTCTAGATCTCTTGGTGCTGAAGACAGTGTAGCTGTGTTTTGGGTAACTCTTGTAACCTTTGGATAGCATATGCATTTTTAATACGGAATTGATTACTGGCTTCATCTAAGTTTCATCAAACACATTCCTGTACTATAAAAAGGCCATGGTTTCTGACTGTAGTTGTCATGTTTATTGTTATCCTTAGGTGAGACCTGGATGAAGACAGAAAATGCATCATTCTATGACAGAAGCCCTAGCTATTGAGGGCAGAGGGATGTAGATAGATGTTGACTTGGAAAAGTACTGTGCATTGCTCTGCATACCCTTTCACTTCCATGAAGGTTTTTTAAAAATTACCTAAAAAAGAGCTCTGTCATTTAAAAAAAAAGTTTTTAAAATCAGGTTTTTATAACATTCTTTTGAGAATGTCAGGAGAAGTGGAAGGTTCTAAGAATTAATATTTCAAATATAATTAGCCCTGAGTTTACTACTGGTTAGTATGTATTTAACTCAAGTTTTCTCCCACGTTTTGAAATGGTATTATAGCACAGAGTAACAACTGGAAGGCATTAAAAATGGGTAATGCAGTCTGCCTGGCATAAAATTCCAGTTCTGATCCGTAAGAATATTAATATCTGTAGAGTAAATAGGGAATTATATATTATGGCAAAAAAAAGTATTTTCTGTAAGGTGCTGTGATCAAAAAGCTGATCATTGTAGTGAAAAAGCAAATAGCATCACTTGCTAATAGTCAGATGTGAAATTTTAATTTTGTGTTGCACCCTTAGTCAAGGGAAAGGGCTGATCATTTCAAAGCTGCTGTAAAGGATCCAGAAGCTTAGTCTCTACACCGTAGTTCCATAAAAATCTGCAACCTTCTGGTTTCGTTTTGTTGTTTTGTTTTGTTTTGTTTTTTAATTCCAAGATGGTCCTCCTACCCAGCTACCCTTGCCTCATTATCCTCTGTTTGGAAGAGATTTTGTAAATTGAATAACATAATCTTTTAATCTCTGCTGTCCTTTACAGCTCAGACTTATTCTACCAGCTGTCAAGTGGCTCATTCCTGCCAAAGAACAATTTTCATGGGCATGTCTTTTTAACGGCATGAGAATACTGGTTTTAAGGGGTATGAATTCATGTTTAGAACAGAAGTTTACATTGTGCTTCGGTATGGCTCAGCTGGCAAAGGATTACTGAACTAGGTCTGAAAACTTTGACTGGAGTTTTTCTTCAATTAATGTCTCAGGAAGAATTGGGGAATATCAGGTAGCATAGACAGAACTGGTGGTGTGTCGTCCAAAAGCAAGTCAAATTCCTATTAAGCTCGGAGAAGGAAGAAGGACAGAATAGACAGGAGGAAAGATAGTGGCAAAGAAAACACAAATTAACTGCAGATTTAATATGGTTATTTCAAAGACAGCACAGGAGGTATCACTGGGATATTAAAAAAGTCTTTGTGCTTGGCTTTTGGGAAAATACGCTTTATACGCAGCCTCTGCATTTTTTCAGATGATTGAAAACACAGATGCCTCAGAGGAAGTGACTCATCCCAAGGAGCTGGACCCTTGTTGTGTGAAAATTTTGCTGTAGCAAAAGTGAAAAAGTATAAGTAAATGATTGTCTGTCGACTAAAATGCTCTTTAGACATTTGACACTACAAGGAACAAATATGCCTCTGTTGCCAGATAGGTCAGGCAATGCAGGTCTGTGCCTCCTGCTAAGGCAGTATTGTTTGAATGCTGAGTCTCACTAAAAATTAGTGTTGGGAAATGAATTCAGACTATGTGGCATAATTCTTGTAAAAAAAATCTGAAACTTACTAAACTTGAATAATTCTTGCTAGTTTCCTTCAGTATTCTTCCCTTCAGTTTTTGGTATTGTCTGTTTCTGTGGTGAAGGAGAAGGAAAAAAAAAAAAAATTTGAACTGAACTAACCAACAGGTCTATAATGTCCAGGGAGATGTGATGCACTGTCGTCATGCTGCCTGATACTGCATCTCTTGTTCTGAGACTTTTTATTTCTGTGCCTTGGTACCCATGCCTCATATTGGGAAAACAACAGTCTTCAGCTAGCACGAGCCTCAAGGCTTTGTTTTTTCCTTTTTGTAGGCATGTTTGCAACTGTAGATGGCATTTCACAGCGTGCCCCTGTGCACTGGTCAGAAAACGTGATTGGAGCAGCTTTGTGCTTTCCTTACGTCGTTGCTCTCGATGATGAGTTCATTACAGTGCACAGCATGCTGGACCAGCAGCAAAAGCAAACCTTGCCTTTTAAAGAAGGTCACATTCTACAGGACTTTGAAGGTATTAAAAAGAACACTTTTTTGCATCAATAATTCTGGAACAACTGCCACTGTGGGCACAGTCACTTCAGTATGTTTTTTAAACTCAAAATCTAGCAAGCACATTAACTGTTGAAACTATTATTGCAAATGCCTTCCCAATTATATTATGATAGGTAAACTTAAGTCATCTAACATTCCATGCTTCTAACAAAATGTATGCTCAATAAATGTGCTCTAATTGTCAAGTTAATTGTTGGGTATGAGTCTGTGGGGTTAGAGCTTTTTCTTGTAACTTGATTATTGCTTGCAAAGGAGCAATGTTAATTTAATGCTACTAGTCTATAATTGCAAGCTCCAGGTATTTGTCCATTGGCTATCTTGACAAAGTTCTAACATCTTAAAAATTGTTCTTTTGTATTCCTTTCTAAAAGGTTTTAAATGGGGTATTTCATAAAGAATTGTTAAACAAAAAATACAAGAATTTTTTTTTTTTCCATCTGCTCTTCAATTAAGAGCTCTTAATTGTGGAATACATTGCGTTGCTGTTTTCTTCCAGGAGAGCTACAAACTCGAGCACTATGAACTGTGTATTACTTACTACCTTTGATGTACAACTTACAATTTTCTAATGTAAGCCTGTGGAAATATCTAGCAGTTAAAAGTCCCTATTCTCTGGAATCTGGGCAATAGTTTCAGTGATGGCCTTTACAGCTTAGCTCATCATGAGAGATTATAGCAAGTTTAATTTACTCAGAGTGGAACAAAATCTGCTGTAAATAAACAAATTTACCATTATCTCTGTATTTCCAAGGTGCAGTTTACAGGTAAAGTATACTATCTACTAAATACGGTAACAACAAAGATGAGTTTTGGAACTCTTAACACTGTTTCAGTTCTCGTATCTTAAATAGCAAATCTTAAAGCTTATTTCTGAAATGTGTTTTTTTCTGTAGAGAATCTAAACTGAATATGTCTGTCTGCTCTGTCCAGGGAAGGTGATTGTTGCTACTAATAAGGGTGTGTATATCTTGGTGCCGCTACCTTTGGAAAAACAGATTCAGGATCTTCTAGCTAGCCACAGAGTGGAAGAAGCCCTTGTTCTAGCAAAAGGAGCTCGAAGGAATATTCCAAAAGAGAAATTTCAGGTCTGTCCTTCCTTTAATTTTCGTGAAAACATAAATTTCACAGTGGGGGCATATATGCCAATGGTCACATAACTAGAAAGGCTGGGGGAGGAATTTGCATTGAAAGGAAGTCTAATACCTTTTATGGTTTCACCCTGAAGAAATAGCCATGCTGCTGAATTGGCTCGTGCATGATTGGCTGTGACATTGGCAGGGTTGAATGCTGCTGTTCTGCTGAGATTTTGGTGTTGGTTTCTTTTCAAGTGTGTAACTTGAAAAAATTGAAACAAAGCCGAAAAACTAGTGATAGAAAGTCCACTGCGATGCTTCCTTAGAACTAAGTCGTTATTATTTGCTATTGCTGTTTAAAAAGTATACTTTATTTCAGATCAGAATTTTTAGATTTTAGTTTTTTTATCAGAGATTCTCACCATATCCTAAACTCCACAGCAGTACAGCTTCAGAGTTAAGTGATGGGAAATCTTAAAGCAAATACATCCTACTTCCAAACTCATACAAGTAGTGCTTGTACTGGTGTGTAACTGAATATTTTGGCTTTTTGTGTGGCAAAGTATCCTAGTAACTCTTTGATTAGAGTGTTGATTAAAGATTTGTCTTAATTTTCTTGTACCTCTGGTTTATATTACAATACATATTCTACTGTATTTGTTCCTATTTGTCATTTAGAGACTGAAACTTGGAAAAAGTAGCATGAAATCTCTACTCGCCAAGTAGGTGAATGAATATTTGACTTGGTTTCTTTCCTTTTGTAAGAGCAAAATTTGATCTGTAACCTGCAGAAAATCTGGTTTCGTTTTTTTTAATACACTTCAGAGCATTTTGTTGTCGTTAAAATATTATCTGTTGCATTACTTTTGGTTTGTTTAGGAAGATGTAAAGTTTGCAACATGACTAGGTAAATTACAGAATTGCAGTGGTTCAAAATGATTCACACTCTCAGGATTTTTTTTTAAATTTCAATAAGTTTCTAATTCCTTGTCATTTAAATAAAAGGCCCTTGAAAAACAGTTATTAAATTAAATGAAATTTGTATCAGCTTTCATTTTGATCCTTAACTCCTCCATTGAATGAACAGCTGGGAGGCTGCTGGAAGTAAAAAGCTTGGTGAGAAAAGTGTTTCCATCCTTTTGCTAAGGTACAACTATCTGGAAGTACTTGAAGCTGAAAAGTATTTAGGCAAATACAGAGTTCAGTTTCCAGCATGTTTGGCTTTGCATCTTCACTTCCAACTTTTCTTTCACAATCTGTTTAAAGAAGCAAACTAAAATCCTGCTGTGAGAACAGGATACATGATCTAATCAATGTCTTTGAAGTATGATGATCTCTAATTCTCCAATTACTTCTTTCCAGTTTAGGCTGATTTAGTGTGGGAGATGTCTTTTTGTGTTTTACCACAGGATGAACTGCAATTCATTATCTAAAATACATCATGTAGAATCTCATTCCTCCTAAGTTTTCTTGCATTTAGGATTTTTCTGTATTTAGGATAAGTTACTTTCTGTTCACATGTATCTTACGTGCACAATGACTGTGTACCTGAAATTACTGTTTCCACGAATATTGTAAGTTCTTTCTAACTTAACCTACTTCTAAGGGTGTTCAGTTACTTTGAGTCAATGCTACAGTTGAAAAACAGAAAACCTATTATTTGCAAGCGAAATGGCCTGGTTTAGTTCTGGGCTGTATTTGGAAATAGATAATAATCAGCTTAAATTGATGGAGTCTCCCATTGACTCGTATTAAAATGACTCAACTTGGCTCAGCTGTTGAGACGTTAGTCCAGTTTTTCAGAGCTTATCTGTAGTTGGAAATGTAACATGTTGAGCTTGCCTCTAATATTTAATGCTGTCATTACAGGTTTGTTAGAAGCACATCAGACTTTCTTTTTCTGTAGTCTCGCATAATATAAATCTGATGGAGTTCAGCCAAATTACATGCCTTACATATGTCTTTTGCAACATTTCTTTTGCATACTTTAACTGATCACATAGTCACTCCTTTCTAATTCCTATGTAAGAGAGATCTTTAGGTAATAGATTTTAGATAGATAGATAATAGGTATCTTCTAATAGATATTTTTGGACATCTATTTTGCAAGCTTTACTGATTCCTGAGTAGCTGACACTTTCAAGACCTTGTTTTGCCATTTTATACAAGCAGTGGGAAGGAATGCATAGGTTTGGCATGAAGGCACTTGGTCCAGCCACTATAATTTATCCATACAGAAGAGTGATAGTAATTGTCTGGTACATGTAGTATAAGTGCGCCCTTCTCCACAGACTGCTTTAATTTCTGGAGTTTGCAGTGGCTGTTGCCATCTTACATGTGACTTGAACTCAGTCATGGCATTGTAGGACAGTTCTTGACACCATGGGTTTTTTCCCTACAGTTCAATACTGCATTGTCATTGCATGCATACACAGCTGCTTGCTTGCTCTTTTTATATCAGCAGTATTATACCTTCATAAATATATCTATATATATATGCTGGTAATGCAGAATGATAGTGGGATTGAAACAGTAAAGTACTGTACTTTCAGAATTATTTGTACAGCCAATATTTAGTTATTGGAAAGAAGCAGGTCATGCATTAGTAGCTTTAAGCTGTTATTTAACCCATGGTCCCTCCAGACTGCAAATTTATCTCTGCCATATTAGATGAAAATTCCTTTGTCTTTGAGCATTAAGAATTACTGCTAGGTAAAAAACGCTAAGCAAAAGTGTTGCAAGGAGGTGGCTTTGCTGGATATCATTTTTGGTAGAAGAATACAAAGGCCTTTCTACCATGCTACCATGAAATGACTGAATACTACTTATTAATTTTTCAGGACAGCTGAAGTTTGCAGAAATCATGGTTGATGGTAGTGAAGACCTTGGTTAGATTGACACACATCTTGCATAGGTATCTCTCTTTTTTCTTTTTTTTTCTTTTTTTTCCTCATTTCTTTTTAGTTTCAAAAAACATATTAACTGCACCCAAATCTGGCCAAAAGCCAAAGTGACTTTCTAGAAAAATTATTTTTGGCAATCTAGTTGGTAATTCTGACCATTTTAGAAAGGGTTTTTCTAGCAGTTGGGAGAATTAAGGCTTCGCTATAGCTATTGCAGCTTCAGCAGTCATCTTTCTGTTTTCTAGCGCTTTTTCAGATATGAATTAATACAAATCTTATTTTATGTTTTTGTAGCTAGTTTTCTAACGTGAATTCAGTCAACTATAGAATTTGCCTAAAGCACTTCAAGTCCTATGGTGGTTCTTCAAAAATGATAGGGGAATAAACAGTGTGTTGAATTTTGACTGGGTGTAACTTGGTACCTTTTTAAAAGAAGCCTATTGCAGTATCTGGCAGATGGGTCTGGAAGAACTCAATATGGTTTTTTCTATCATAAACAAAAGTTAACTGTATGTGGTTGGCACGTAGGTCTAGCCTGTTTTTAAAAACCTGTGAGAAGGAGAGAATATTCTCGCTTCCACAAACAGTCTGGTCTGTTGCTTCCCTAATCTTTACCACAGGACGTCTTAATGTCTAGTGTTTATCTTGTTGGCTAAAAATCAACCTGGATATTCCCTATCCCATCACTGCATCTTTAAAAAGTTGGGAAAGCGTCTGTCTGTAGACATTCTACAGCTTTTTTTGTTGCATGGCTTTAAGGGACAAGTGAAGATATGTCAACATTTAAATGAATGTGAATACCACTTAATCAGTTCAAATTCAAAACTGATCCCTTGGGCTTATACTTACACTATCCACAAGCTCTTATCAACTTCTAGTTGAAAAGACTGCTGTACAGAGTAAGGTCTACAACTAAAGCACTGTTCTCAGTGTCTTAGATCAATTCAAACTTAATTCCAATATCCTAATTCACTAAATATGTAAATATTAGTCGTCACTCCATTGCAAAGATTGAAAACAGACTTAAAAACCCCAAACCAACCTACTTCTGACACTAGTTAGCAGAGTGAGAAATGTTTGTGCTTCAGCTTTGCCTGGAAAGTCTGAGACCAGGTTTTGAAGTTTTTCTGGTGCTATAGGATGCATATAGTTGCAGATTGAAATCCTTCACCAGCATCCTTAAGAATGTGACCAGATGGGTATTCGTCAGTTCACAGATTACCATTTAGTGATGTAATAACACAGTCATAATTCCAAAATATTTTGGAAATTTTGTGAATTAATCACCTGAGGAAGTTTTACTTTATTACTGTAATTAAATTCCCTTTTAGCTTTAGTTAACTGTATTTTGAATTAGTACACTTGGATGTAAAGCATAGTAACATTAATTAATATAAAAATGTCATGAAGTATTGTTTATATTGTTAACGTTTGTCTGAAAAGGCGTGCCAGATAGCGTTTCCCTCTGCTTCCCCTTCTCTCCCCCATGCTGGGGAGGCAAGAAAAGTCCCACAACCTTACAGATCAATAGGTTTTAATGGCTTGTTAATGATCAAGATTAAGGATTTCCTTAAGATAATCCATTAGTAAAGCATGCACAGACTAAATGGATTTAAGCCAAGCTTTTCTCTTGGTAAATCCACAATCTTTAATCAAGGTGAAAAATCACCAATTAGAATATCAGTCTACCCGACTGGAGGCCTGACACTCTTTAGCAATTCCTGTCTGGAATACATTGCTAATGTATTGCAGTTTCTCTGGGTATTTTCATTGAAAATGGGGAGTTTGTTATTAATAACAGCATTCATGTACACTGTTAAACATTAGAAAACTGTATATTCATGAGAAAGTTGAAGGGAAAAACTGAGGGCGTGTGGATGTAGCTAGGTGTATTTGCAAAATAACCAGTGCTGTCAGAAACAGTGGATGCTTTGCAGAGCATAGTTTAGCTTTCTTGCTTTTAGTAATTCTCTTTTGCCATTGGAAATACACTGGGCACAAGGGTTTCATTTTATCTCATGGTAACTAATTGACCATTCAGATTAAATAAATACGTAGCATTTAAAGAAGTTTTGTGTTCTTTTTGTAGTGAACTTGTAAACTTTTTTCTGTCTAGGCATGACCTTAACAGTAAAACTTCATAACACATAGCTTTTTGTATGGTTTATTTGTGCTTCTCTTTTTAACCATATTTTTATGTACATTGCATAACGTACTGCATATTGGATAAGTGGAACTGCTTTGGAATTACTTTTACTTAAAAAAAAAAAAAAAAGGGGGGGGGGGGGCCACAAAAAAAAACAAAAAAAGCAAAAAACCCAAACCAAACAAAACCAAACAAAACCACCCAAACTGGCAGAAAGTCTGAAATATGGTCATCAGCTGGGGATGAGCCTATGAGAATCACCAGCAAGGTTCCTGCAGAAGTGAGATGAGGTGGGGAGAAAGTTGGCTCTGTGTGGTCAAGTGGGACCACCCTTGAGTTTAAATCTTTTCTTGTGCCTGCTGAATCATGGGGAACTTCAGAGATGACCATTGGCTTTTACGTTTGCAAATACCGCAAGCAAACACTTGCGGTGAGTCAGACTGATGTCAGATAAGTCATTATCTGAATAAGAAAACTTGCTATTTGTTGACTTTGCTTTTAGTAAGTATTCGTGAACAGTGTTCTGTTCACACACTTTTGTGTAAGAAGCTGAGTCTGGACAGCAGATTCAGTATATTCAGGTACATACAATTTAAAATGTAGAGGATCAAGGCTTTATTTTGCATGTAACTTAACAGGTCTGGTTGAAGATCATGTGTTCAGTGTTTCTGGCAGGTAGTTACTGCAGTAGTGACTAGCACTACATAAATAACTCCTTACAAAGATAATAAACCTTTTTTCCCCCCTTCTCTTCCATAGGTAATGTACAAACGAATCCTGCAGCAAGCAGGTTTTATACAGTTTGCACAGCTTCAGTTCTTTGAAGCAAAAGAACTCTTCAGGTAATTGTGTGACAAGAACTTTATTAATTTATCTTCTTTAAATAAGGAGTTAGTGTTCTTGGTTTTAAAAACTTAGTTGCTTGAATGTGTTTTGATGCAGATGTGAGTTCACTGTGATAAAATGGTTTTGTTGGGCATAAAAACAGAGTAACATTGAAACAACTTCATAACTGAAGAGTTAATGCAACTGATTTTTCGGCATGCTAACATACAGTAGCATTAAGGCTTTAATCCTGTAATCTGAGTGTTGTACATGCGGAGATTTTTTTTACTTTATGCCCATGAAGGTCAAGGCTTTATTATTGAGCCTGTGTTGTGATTTGAACCATCACGTCATGCTACTGACAGAACTTGCTACTTCTTAGTTATTCTGCCTCTTAAAAAAAAGTCCTCATCTACTTGTGAGTTCCATCATAATGTAGATCTCAGAATTTCAAAACCAAATATCAAGTCTGAAAAGAGGGATTAAAAGGCAATTTCAACTGCAGAAATCTGCAAAGTAGACATGAACACTTTAACTCTACTCTTGTTAGAGGCTGGCCTTTCTAGTGTAGAGGCAGTAGGAGCTCTGTGTATAAATCAGAAAAACTTGCTATTCAAACCTCTTCTCACAGGAAAGCTTCCCATGTTCAGATTTTTCTCTGTTGTGGTCCTCTATTGTTCGTTTTGGCTGTTCCCATGCTTTGCAGTCACTAGGTTCTGGAACAGGATACTTGCTGCTTTTAAATTTGCTGTTGCTGCTGTCTCCCAGAATTTCATTCTTCTTGTATAGATTTTTGTAGCCAAAGGACAGTATTTACTTTTTAAAAAGTTCTAAATAGGTGTTGCCATTGTTCATACTTCCTGGATGGTTTTGGAACTGTCTTTGGCAAGAAGTGAACAGCTCAGGGCATGCCCCATGCTTTAGCTACTTCACAACAGTAGGGAAGGGATGAGCCTGCTTGTGAGGATCTTTCACATTTTATTGCCTGCAGAAATCTGCTGTGTCATCTACTTCCATGGTTATAACTTGTTTCTTTTTGGAATTTGTTCTAATCAAGGTTGTGAAGGGAAGGGCTTTTTGAGGTTGCTGGTCACCGGATAGATAAGAACTATTTTTTAAAAGTTTTATTTGCAATAAAATAGTAACTAACCAGGGTTTCTTTTAGAGAACTGTCAGTTCATTATTTTGTTTTACCAACAGTATCTCCTGCATTTCAGGAATGCTCATCTGTAAAGATGAATTCTGAATAATGACTTTGACAGTGAAATAAAATATAAATTCTCATTTCTTGCTGTTCTTCTAAAGCAAGGCCTGGGAGGAGGAGTCACTCTAGCTGTGAAAATTGGGGAGTTGTTTGCCAGTTGTTTTTTCATGTGAAAAAACATCTTGTTTTATTCTTCTGTCACAACATGCATTCTTCAGACACTTGAGGAATTTCTTCAATCTAGGCTGGAAGAAAAATGTTTTGTGTAGCATATCTGTGTTACAGCTTGCTCCTGGATGAAGTATAGATGCTCTTCACATGCGAAGTGGAAAAGCCACTGCATAGTATCTGACATAGATGCACACCCAAGACCTATGCCTGTACAAAAGGCTACTACTTATTGGTTGGATGGATGCATAATTGGTGTCCATGGTTCGTTTTCAGAACCTCCTTAAGAAGTGAGCTGAAGGAGGAATCTGGTGCATTTCAGGGTTGGGGAAAACATTTTCATCATGCAAACACATGTTCTGAAAGCTTTAGTTTTCTACAGGAAGTTGCTGTTTTCTACAGAATTACACTTGAACAGTCTTTGTGGCTTGCCTAAAAGGGTTCACTCTCCATTTTTCTTGCCTCCATCAGAAGACTAGTTCCCATAATGTATGGATGAAGTCTAGGACAGTCCTAGGAATGGCATTAAGGGTGTTCAGCTGGTTTTTGTATATGCCACAGAGCAGCTGTGGGATGTCAAAAGCAAAAGGCTGGCCAGTCTGTGAATTCTCAGAGCTTTCAATATCTAGAGGAGGGAAAAGAATGATAAACAAGTTTGGACAGAAAGAGCAAAAAAAATTCCAGATTTGTTCTGAGTGTATTTTCTCCAGCATAGAAGGCAGTAACTTTCAGAAACTGACAACCTGTTAGTGTCCTGACCCTAAGCATATGTGAGCACACATTCCCAGTATGTTATTTTTTTGTGCCTATGTATACTTTTTCTTTCTTTTTGCTTCATCTAGTTTGACACTGTAATTGCAGAAGCGGCCAGCTTGATGTCCGGGAGCTGATCTCTCTCTACCCCTTCCTGTTGCCTACTTCCTCTTCATTTATACGGTCTCATCCCCCTCTGCATGAGTACGCGGACCTAAATCAGCTGACCCAAGGTGACCAGGAGAAGATGACAAAATGCAAACGGTTCCTCATGAGTTACTTGAATGAAGTCCGCAGCACTGAGGTGGCAAATGGCTACAAGGAAGATATTGACACAGCTTTACTCAAGCTATACGCAGAGGCAAATCATGAAAGCCTGCTGGATCTGCTAGTTTCGGAGAACTTTTGTCTTTTAACAGATAGTGCTGCCTGGCTGGAAAAACACAAAAAGTGAGTGGATTTTTGAGTATTGCACCTTTGAGACCAGAGGGAAAATTGTCTTAAACGCTATTGGCTTCTAGAGCAACGTGTTCAGATCCTTGAAGTTTCTGTGCTTTCAGGTCCAAAAGACAACTTGGCCTGACTTGTCAGCATTTAAAAATGTTGGTGAAAAAGTATTAATTGACACTCTGAGGTAAAGGGAATGTGTTCTGTCTTGTGCTGGTAAATACAGAGTTCTCCCTGACAGTTTCTGTGTCCAACACAAAAATAAAGGATTGGTACAAATGGGGTGGGGGAAGTGATTTGTTTACCCTTGTGACAATGTGAGAGTTGAATGGACGCGGTAGTGGTGCTTGGACAGAATGAAAATATGCCTTAAAGTATGCGCTACCTTAGGCAGAAGCTATTAACCAGCTAGTGGCTTTAAAATTTTAGTTGCTTATTCAGGGAAAGAGATCTTGCTTTTGAATTGCATACTTTCTGTACTCCCACTGACTCACCAAAAGGAGGTTGCTTAAGATGACTGCAGATGACTTCAAATTGGAAATACCAGCAGGTGGAGAATTGACTGTCATTAAGCAGGAAACACTAGATAGAAAATGTGTAAAATACAAACTCCAGTCGTAGGTAGTGTCACTGTCTTGGATTTCATTTCTTTAAACTGTGTGGTGCAGTAGTAGCAACTACAGTGGTGAGGAGGAGTCTTTAATTGTGGTTAGAATTAGGGTAGTTTCATTTATTTCTCTTGGTAAGTATAGTTTGCATGGCAAACATGAATGGAATCGTTCCATGAACAGCCAGTACAGAACTTTAGCTGTGTTTTTATTACAGTACACAAAAAACCTCTGTAATGGCACTGTACAAACCCCTTCCTTGCCTGACTTGATTTCATGTTGCAGTAAAGAAAAAAATGGTTCTGATAGTAAAAGTTTTAAGTAAAACCATCATAAAAATTTGATTTAATGACGCTTGATTAACTCTTGGAGGAATATTTATTATTTGGAGCTCTGTGTTAAGTCTGTATATAAAATTCAAAGAACGGCATTGGGATCATCTCTAATTTGACATATACTTTAAGTTGGAGCTAATAACTAGAAATTGCCTTAGACAGGAGAGACAGACACATTTCTAGGACAGAACTTCTCTTCTTTGATTATGAAAAAGAGCCTACAGACAATTGTTCAAGTGTAGACATGACCATGTACATGTCACTGTAAGCAATTATTTGTTATATTCTGTGCTAATCAAACCGTAATGAAATTGGTAGGAAAGATCTAGCAATTTTAATATTATTTTCTCTTTCTGTACAGGTATTTTGCCCTTGGTCTCCTGTATCACTACAATGGTCAGGATGCTGCAGCACTTCAGGTTAGAATAAAGCTTTTAGTGTCATCTGTAAACCATTCCAAATACCAGTTTACCTCTGAGATAAAAATCTGAGGTGCTAATTTATCTGTTTGGAAAGTAGTAATGTGTATATATAAGAAACTTATGCTAAGATTTCCTTGAATAAATTAATATGCTAGATGTGAAAAACCTGAAGATGACAGCTATGTAGATGCTTGTATGCTATTTTTTAAGCAAAACTGTGCATACCAGAACATATGTTTGTACTCTTAACAAATGGACAGAAGCACTAAAATAATCAAGAGATCACTTTAAAAGGTGCTTGAGGGACTTCAGGAACATATCCTGTACTGATTAGTCTGCATACACAGCAAAGCAGTATTGTAATCTCATGGCAGACACTGACAGCAACTGAGTTTATTTCCTTTTCCGATGATGGACAGTGAACACATTCTGCAAGATCTGTGGGTTTCAGCTGGGTTAGTAATCCCTTTGGGGACCCTCCCCCTTCTGATGTCACTAAGACTATCAGTGGTCTGTAGACTGCAGGCTAAGTAATTTTGGTATTCCTGTCTGCAAAACTTCATCTAGAAAAATTAATATGTTCTTAATCAATAAATAGCATGTATGTCTTGGACCATATCCAATACCTTAAGTAGTTTGCCTTACTGTGTGGCTTTTTAAGTACGTTAATCACAGTAACACTGTCAAATGCATTCAGGTCCGTTACGTAAATAGTAATTTCCTGAGCAGAAAACCAGTAAGGGCAACAAAAACAGTATGTACTTTTGTCATGTGCAAGATATTTTTCTTTATGTTTCCAGGAACAAGGCTTATTGCTAAACTGGTCTGCCAGATGTGGCATCTTTTAATTCCAATTATAACATATATAAAAATGATATCACATGGTACTTAAAGTTCTTCAGTCAAAATGAAAGAAGAGAAGAAAAATCAGTTTTTCTTCTAAATTGTTTGTATCATTTGCTTTCAATCTTGCTTACGCAGAACACATGAAAAGTATACCATGAACTGGAGAGAAAGACTTTATTAAAAGCTTTCTTTGTGATTAGTGTACCTCCTCTTGAATTATTTGGCCAACCACTCTCAGAATGAGAATCCGCATGATATGGTGTCTGAATTAGTTGAATATGGCAGGTACAAGAAAAGCCTGTGATGGGAAGGAGGCATAAATTTAGTGAGCAGTGAGGTCCCTTGCAGCTGGGTGTTCCTAGGAGCTCTTTCTAACTCCAGAAGTACCAACACCTAATACTAAGTGTTGTAGTAGCTCACATAAATTCTGAGTTGGAAGAACTAGTACATGTTTTAAGCACTTTAATCTGTGTGTGTTTTTGTTGCAGTTATGGGTGAAAATAGTTGATGGAGACATTCAAGATTCTACACGTTCAGATCTCTATGAATATATAGTAGACTTCCTTACATTCTGCTCAGACCAAGATCTAGTGTGGAAATACTCTGACTGGGCTTTACAAAAAAGTGAAGAGGTTTGTGATTGGTGTACTTTTCACAGAACATCAGTATGCAGTGGTGTTTGAGTGTTCATTAACATTGTTCCATCTTGATAGCTAATTGGACCATTTTTGCAGAATCTTTAAGGCCAGTTAAATAGTGATCAACAGAAGAAAACTTCCAGGTTTCTCAATTGTTCTAAGCCCTTCTGTTAATAAGTGCTAGTGATAATTGCCTCTTTTTCTTCTGAAAACAAAGTTTAGGTCATTCTGTACAATGAAAGATACAGCATGTCTTCTGTTTTTCTTCATATTAAGCAAGATAATTTTCAGATCTTAAAAAAAAAAAATAACCACCTAACAGGTTAACTGTTGCTGCTGTTTCTTTTTTAAAAGGATTCCAGGGAGAGGTGATAACTGTGTACACTAGGATGTGGAAGAAATAGCCTTCATTCAAGACAAAACCTCATTGCTACAAGAATTGACTTAATCCACCAAAATTAAAAAAAATAATTTTGTAACATCCATTAGTGCGGTGTGCTGTTAAATGGGATGCTTGATGCTATATCAGACAGTCTGTGTTGTTGGAACTTGTCAGTGCCTAATTTGTATTAATTTATGGCTCAGTTATTACGTGCAATGACAGATTTCCAGACTTTCATTTTGGTCATTATAGAAGTCTCTTACTCTGTGTATATCATCACATTTGATAAGGCTGTAAACATTCTGGTCTCTAACTTACACTTTCTTGCTGCAAAGCCTGAAGTCTCTTGTTCTGCTGTTATGCCAATCAGTTCAATATTTTTTGTGGCTGGTGGAGGTTGTGCCCAACACAAGGTTTATAGGCTGGACAATGTATAGGCTATAAATTGAGGTAATGGAGGTAGGAGTGAGTGAGATCACAATAAGCACCAAGTAGTGTAATGTTGGTGGTGTCAAGCAGGGTTTTGTGTTGTTTGTCTTCCTGATTAATGTACTAACTAATCCGATGGTGCTATTAATTAAGTATTTAAAATAAGAAGGTAATGAAACGGTTGCCACTGAGTTCCTAAATGCAATTAACTCTCTCTAGGTTGGCGTACAGATTTTCACTAAAAGGTCTTTGGAAGAACAGGAGAAAAACAACATTAATCCAGATGATATCATCAGTTGCCTTAACAAATATCCTAAAGCACGTGTTAAATATCTAGAACATGTAGTATTGGAAAGAAAAATAGAGGTGAGTGCTAAAAGAACACTAAAAGTAGGCATAGGATTCAGAATGCAGACTATGATGAACAGCTCTGAAAAAAGCCAAAGTCCAGAATAAATAAGCATAATTTGAAGGCTTTCAGATGTACTCAGAGTAGGGAAGGAGTGGTTTTAAGATTTAAGTAGAGGATGAGGAGCAGATATCTGCATTATTTTTAACTTTTCAACTCGTATAATGGCAAGACAGTTGCTTACCTCCCTGCAGAGATTTGGTTTTTTTTACGTCTGATTACTGCATACTTTTCTGTTTCATAGTTGAGGCTCAAACCTCTATCTCATAAGATCATAGAAAAATGGTTGAGCAACTGCTAATCCTATTGCACTGTTGCAGCAATATACTAAAATTCTGAATTCAGTGTTTTACAAGCAGGTATGTTTTATTCTGTCCTTCTGGAGAGATTGAGCAATTAATGATAGAATTAAACCATGCATCTCTCACCGTAGAATTCCAAACCACACTCTGTATGTTGAATGTCCAAAAGATGTGTTCACAAGTCTAAGTGACAGTGTATTCTATCTTTGGGTTTTTAAGCACAATACAGAAGCAGCCAAACGTTATGGTACTTGGATATGAGACATTTCAAGCACAGGAGAAGTTACTTTAACCTGCAAATAAAGCAAGGAAATTAATGTTGAAAGAACTCAGCAGAACTGATGACCATTTCACTAATTTACATTCTTCAAATACACATGCTAGATCAATGGTTTCCCTCTGTCACTATTGCAGATACGTTAAGGTGTATGACACCATGACGGATGAATGTACTAGTTTCTGATGTCATGAATGTTTTCAAACAAACTTTTTGAGTTAAACATAGTGGCTTGTAGAATATTTGTAACAAAAATAATTTATAATTAAGTCTACTCTAACTGCTAGTAAAGGCTGGGTTATAAATTGATTTGGTCTTTAGGAGGTACTAGATTATTGTGAATGCTTTAGTGAGAATGTTTCAAACATTCAAATCATCAGCTTGTTTTGATGAATATTGGATAGTGGGTAACACAAAAAGCACTGTGTCTTCAGAGTGCTTGTCTACCTCTGGTGGCTTTCTCAAATTTTATTGCAGAAATAGAAAAGTTCAAAGAATGTACCTGAATATGAGGAGTAGTGAATTAGATCAAAATTACTCATTTTACAAGGGAAACAAAAGGAGAAGACACAGTGGAGATCATACTTGTACTCAAAGGAGAGACATCTGCTTTACTACATTGACTTCCATTAGGTGAACTTTTGAAAGGAAATCATTTTTGCACAAGAAAAGCTATTTATAGAGCTTGTTTATTTAAGGTGAAGAGAGGTTTAGGAATAAGATGCTTCATATCTACATTTTAGAAATATCTGTATTAATGAAATAGAGAATCCCATGCTATAGGTATAATGTATTTTGTGAAGCTGGTCTGAATAAGTTGTCTATCTGCATGAACAAAAGACTTTCTGATTAATTTGAATTAAATAAATTAATTAAAAGACAGTTCTATGTAATTATGTAATATTCATCACTGTTACTGGTGGGGAGAAGGGGTTGTCTTTGTAAACTGAGCTAACATTGCTCTTTTTATCTGTAGAAAGAAAAGTACCATACTCATCTAGCTGTCTTGTACTTGGAGGCAATACTTCAGCTAAAATCTGTGACCACAGATAATTGTACAGAAACAACTGAACTGCTGTTTAAACTACGCAGTCTTCTTCAGAAATCTGATCTGTATAGAATTCACTTTATTTTGGGTAAGATGCATGCTGTCTATTATAAATGTGTCCTGGTTTTGGCTGGGGTAGAGTTAATTTTCTTCCTAGTAACTGGTACAGTGTATTTTGGATTTAGCGTGAGAATAATGTTGATAACACACTGATGTTCTAGTTGTTGCTAAGTAGCGCTTATCCTAAGTTAAGGATTTTTCAGTTTTCCGTGCTCTGCGAGCAAGCAGGTGTACAAAGAAGCTGGGAGGGAGCATGGCCAGGACATCTGATCCAAACTAGCCAAAGGGATATTCCATACCATAGAACGTCATGCTCAGTATGTAAACTGGAGGGAGTTGGCCAGGGGGGATGGATCGCTGCTCAGGCATCGTTCAGTGGGTGGTGAGCAACTGCATTGTGCATCATTTGTCTTTTCTTGGGTCCAATTTCTCTCTCTTTGTGATGTTCCTGTTCATTACAATTATTATTATTGTTGTTGTTATATTATTTTATTTTAGTTATTAAGCTGTTCTTATCTCAACCCATGAGTTTTACTTTTTTCCCCAATTCACCTCCCCATCCCACTGGAGGGGGGAGGAGTGAGTGAGTGGCTGCATGGTGCTTAATTGCTGGCTAGGGTTAAACCACAAAAAAATGCTATATGTTAGTTCCAGCAGGAGACAAACTAAAGTCCTCATAAGGATAGAAAACTAAAAGATCTGAGGTTTCTAGGTGTATTTGGTTGATGGGCTTACCATCTGTGTTTCTGACAGACACAAGTTAATTTAGAAAGCGTGTCTGTTAGTGTTGTCTTTTGATCTCCCATAGCTCATGAGGTACAATGGTATGTTTGCCACTGCACCAAAGGCAGAATACCATAACTAGCTAGAAGAAATATCTTCATACAATTATCTTCTTAATTTATAGTCAGTTTCTTTTTAATGATGAGCATGTAACTTGTGCCAGTCTTTTGCAAATGGAAGACTTACAGGTTTATTTGTGAAGCAGTCTGTTTCTCAGTGAACTGCAGTGAAGCTTTGAGGAATCTGATTGCTAAGGACTTGTTTGTTGTCCATAACCCACTCTCACCCTGAAAGGTGGGGTTCATGCTAAACAAAAATATGAGCATCTTTTTGAGTGCAGAGTGCAACATACCTCTTAGTGTTGGTATAAGGCAAGCAACAGTTGAGCAAAATGTTTTCCTTGGCCAATGCTTATAGTGGCTAATTTTTAATGTTTCATCCACCAGAACAATGGGGTGACTTGTTATTGTACTGAAAGATGTGAAATGTTTTTCTGAAATTCAGTGGAAAAATCCAGTGGAAGTGGAAATAAAAATAGCTGAGTAGCAACTAAAATAACTTACCAATGTTTAATGTCCCCTTGCCTTTCCAGTCAGCAAAGTGTTATATGACAGATGAAGTACAAGTATAACACGGTCATTGAAACTCTTGCTTTTTCATCCTTTAATTTTTAACCAAATTTTTAAGGGCAAGAGTTACAAGATGGATTATTTTCTTGAAATTCATGTACTCCAAAACACAGGATTTCTTACATGACAATTCTTACCTTACATGAAGGTGAGATCAATGCATGCTAGTGTGTTCCTCCTTGATGACCAAAATATTTTGGGGAGAAACACATTGTATTTCCATACCTTATACAGAGGCCTATGCCAAATTATCACCTTTACAATAAAAAGAGGATTTTCTACTTTATCTTGAAATGCCAGATGAACTTGCCATTCCCCCTGCCTGTTGCTGACATTTTAACTTTAAACTGTCAGACTGGATTAAGGGTTTGTAGTCCCCTTTTCTTGAAGGGAAGTACTATGTGATCTTTATTGTCTTTTATGGACTTTAAACTATTCTGTAATTTTTCTATAACACTGGGAGAAGCAGAGGTTAAAAACATTGCAGCTTCATCTTACAGTTTATCATACATGGTAGCAGTGTGCGTGGAAATGTGCAAGACTGACATGCTAGAATTTAAAAGATGTCGGTGACCCTGGTTTTATCACCTGTTATTTAGCCATTTCTTTTTCCCGTATTTTGTGGTGTTCTTTTGTTAGAGATATGTTTCTAGGCATTCTTGTACATACAAACATTTGTCCTCTGTATAGCTGCCAGCACCCCTGCAAAAATAGAAGGAGTTGAGTTTTGTGGGCTTGTTTGCTTTGACTCTGGGAGAGGGAGTAGTCATCTTCACCACTGAGCAAATATTGCCTTGTTTCTCATTTAACAGACAAAATCCAGGGCACAGACCTTCATATGGAAAGTGCAATTTTATATGGAAAACTAGAAGAACATGAGAAGGCTTTGCATATCCTTGTCCACGAGTTAAAGGACTTCCATGCTGCTGAAGAATACTGTATATGGAACTCTGAGAACAGAGACACGCAGTACAGACGGAGGCTTTTCCATATGCTGCTGTCAGTGTACCTGAATCCAGGCACTTCGGATTGTGCACTAGTCATGGCTGCTGTGGATCTCTTGAACAAGCACGCTGCTGAATTTGATGCGGCTCTGGTTCTGCAGGTGGTGCCTGACAGCTGGTCAGTGCAGCTCCTCTCCCCGTTCCTGGCTGGAGCAGTGAGGCAAAGCATTCATACAAAAAGAATGACTCAGACTGCACTTGGGTTAGCACGAGCTGAAAACTTAATCTACAAACATGAGAAGGTAGGTTGTTGGTTTTTTTAGAGGCACTTTGAAGGTTTACGATTAAGTCCTTTGATACGTAATAATCAGAAGCAGTTTGAAGAATTAGGACAAAGTTGTCTTCCTCTCCTTGGCAATTTTACTTGCTGCATTTATTAGTCTTTTTGCCATGACTACTAGATTCAAACTTAATTTTATGCTTTCTCTGTAAAACAAAAGGGAAGGTGGGGGCTTTGAAATGGGAACAACTTTGATGAACTTCTGGGCTGAAGGAAAGTGAATCTGGGATTTACAGATTAACGAAGTTATTGCAGAAACTTAACAAATGTGAGTTAGCATTTGTTCACTAGGATTGAGACCTGTCAATTTGCAAAAAAGTTTGCCTGGCACTTAGTATTAATTGAAGCTTGTTAATAGCTTTTGTTAGTGGTAAATTCACTTGTGAAACTTTCTTCTATTCCTAGCTAAAGCTGTGTTGCTTAAAGCTCCCAGCAGATTCTTAAATCTGTTCAGTTCTAACAATGGTATATCCAGCAGAATCTGTCTGGAATAAAAATGGATCAGTGCTCAGTTTGCTGTGGAGTTGTCCTGTGACCTTGTTTGGGAAACTGCATCGGGTTTTCTATTGCATTAAATGTGTGAGTGCTTTCCTTTATGAAACAAACAAAGAAGAAGAAAAAGAAGAAAAAAAAAAAAGCCATACATAAGAGGAGGCATGAAAATGAATGAGTATGAATGTGGAAATTGAATTCAAGTTAAATAGTTCAAGCTATCTTTTCCTACTACCTCTCTCATTGGCCAGGTTTGTCCATTTGGTACAGGTGAAATGATTTGCCTCATAATTTCCCTTCCTTTCTTGCTAGGTTCATGTTTGGATTTTTTCCCTCTCTTTAGGTTAAACAAAAAGGAACCCCAATTCTTCTTTCGGACAAAAAGGTCTGTCAGGTGTGCCAAAATCCTTTCTGCGAGCCTGTGTTTGTAAGATACCCAAATGGGGGTATGGTCCACACGCACTGTGCTGCAAAGAAACATCTGAATTCAAACATGACTCATCACTCTTCCAGCTCCAGCAATCAGACTTGAAATATGTTCCGGTCCCACAGGTTCCCATGACTTATACCCCATTGAAAGTGGGCTGGAAAAAAGAACAAAGTGCAGCTACTTTAGGTATAAATCAAGATGAACAGCTAGTCTTTGGGTTAATGGGAAGACTTCCAGTAAATATGAAATATTGCCACTTATCTTTTTGATTTCTATGAATGTAGATAGAAAAGAAAATTCACTACCAGAAACGGAGAGGTGCAAATATAGGCTCTTCTGTATATAGTAATAAACGGTTAAAGAAAATGAGCCTTTTCTTCACAGTAAGGATGAATGTTATGGAGACAAGGCAAACAATTATTTTAAGAAATGTCGCTTTGCACTGAATGTGGTGGTGATAAATTTGTAGAGGTGGAGATGGCATCTATTGCAGTTGGAATTCTTGGAACGTTACGTGACAAGACTGGCATCATGCAGCTTACTATCAAGACAAAAGTGTGCGGTGGTTATAATGTTTGCTGCAGCATGTCCTCTTTTTGGGCTGGATTCTCTTCCCCAGGATCACATTATGAACTTGATTTTCGCTCTACAAATTGTTGGCTTTTGATGCACTTTTTAGTCCTTTTGGCCCCCCCCCGCCGCTATATAGAATTTAAATATAAGCACTGGTCCGTTAGGTTTCTACTCCTACAGTTACTGTAATAAACTGAGTGGAAACTGATAGCCTCAGTCACACAGCTGTACTTGGAAGAAAAGAAAAAAAATGAAGTCAGATTGTCTGGTCAGACTGTAGTCACTTTTATATGGGGGAAGAGACCTTAACTTTAATATTGATTTATTTATTAATATGCAAATATACTGTACATACAGTTGAATAAATTGATACTATATCATTCTAGACTTTCTTTGGAGGATAAAGGTGTAGCTGATACATAAGTGTACAGGTTATGTGCTAAATGTTTGCTATAACATACCTTAGGCAGATTGGAACTCCACAAGAATAGATTTTAGTACTTGTGGATAACTTTGTGCAATCAAGATCATGGAAAGAAGGTATAATTGGGAAGAAATCTATAAAGGTGCACTACAGGGGTGCTGGATTGTTACATTCTAGAAAACATTCTGTAAACTAAAGTGTTTCGAATAACAACAAAAACCCTTAACTGCCCTGATAAGTACTCACATTGCTATTTAACCATTTTAAAAGAAGCAGCTTCCCACAAAAGAGGTTCAAAAATGATGACTTTAAATAAAAATTAAGTATTTCAAAGTCAGAGTATTTCTTTTAATTCTGTAAAGCTCTAATAAATGCCAAGCTTACTGGCCAGCATGCAACTGAGTTAGTATGGCTGCACTGTTTCAGCATTCCAAATCAGAGTGAAGACTTTCAGCAAAATGAGGTATCTGCATGGTATCTTCTAGATGCAATCTCAGCAGAGGTCTCCTGATACAGAAAGGTTGGCTTCTGAAACAGCCTTGTAAGCATAGTGCTGCCTCCAGGAAAGGTCAACCAGACTACATCCAGGGGAAAAAAATACCCGTTTCTTTGTCTTCGAAGCAAAAGACCTTTGGATCTTTCTCTTCCCTGAGATAGAAATTAAAAAAGTGTAGCTGTTGTGTTGCATTTTAGAAAATAAATAAATCTAAGTAAGGAATTTTGTAGCACTTTCTATTGAGACGTGTAAGCAGTGTTTAGTGAAAGGCACCTTCAAAAAAGACAAATGTGGGCATTTCCGACTTAATTCTGGCATGAGTGATTCTCCTGTGGCACTGGTATGAGTAGATTCTTCTGTATCTTGTATTCATGGTTTTCAAACATTGTGTGTACAACTGGCAATGATGACATAGACAAATTTGTGGTCCCCTGTCCTCAAAATTCTTGCTGATAGAGACAAAGTGATTTTACGAAGATCTGATAAGCCTTTTGTGTACAGTAGCATGCGATTCATAAGAAATACTTTCTTTTGCTGCAAGCAGTATGCTCTCAGTATGCTCTTTGTTCCTACCTAATAAGGAGGTACTAAAACAAAGACCAGTCTCCATGATTAAGACTAATTCTAGCCACCAGGTAGTGATGAACTTGGTCTTGTCAGCTAATGTTGCAATGGAATGGAGATCATACCATTCCAGACCACGAGAAAGTTCTTAATTGTTATTGCATGAAAAGGTATGTCTGTAAAAGATTCAACAGTTGTTTATTAATATTTGATATTTTTTCAGATTTGTACTTTGGCTAAAATGCAGCAGTAACAATAATTGTACATACAGAACAAATACAGAAATCAGAGTAATGCAAGGTAGCATATTTGGAAGCACAGGTGACCAAAAGGGTGATTAATGTTTAAGTTGGGGGATCTAATTCTTTTAGCCCCCAGAAATGTGGACTGGAAAAATATTTGATTCATACATTGTTACCTGTTTCTTTGTTAAATTTTTATACTAGAACTCATTTGGATGAATTAATATGGAAGTCCCATGGTAACAAAAAGAAAAAGCACAAAAACTAATGTGAGGCTGAGGTAGAGCAAGAGCTCAGCAGGGAGGTGGCAGGTGGAGGATGCTCTTCCAGTGTGCGTGCAGCGTTTGAGCAATTGGGATAACACTCGACCAGAGGAGATGACAACCTACGTCCAAGTGGTGCGTGAAATTCTGTACTTTATCACCAGGAAGTTTATGAAAAGTCTGCATTCAAATTTCCTTAGGTAGGACAACTACAACACCCCTTGGGTAAGAGAACTTCACATTGGAGAACCTGAGTTCATTCCTCCTTTTCCTTTGGCACTGTCAGTTTGCTCATTTTTGTTTTACGTACCTGAAGTCCTGGGACAGCATTGCTACTGTGGTAAGTTCTTCTGCAGCAGCAAGGAGGGAATGAATGGTAATCTGGTTATTAATTGCTACTGGATATGTGAAGGAGGAGAGGCAGAAAAGAGGAATATTTCTTTGACCTTCCTTCTAGTTTGGAAATTAAATGGGTTCTGGGAGTTTAAGCTTGATGCAATCGTTTTCTCTCCAGTTTGGGAATGCGGTGTCTTAGACCTGCCCTTGGAGAGAAGAGATTCTGTCAGAGTATTTCTTCTGAATTTAGCTCTTGCTAAATTATTTGTGTTTGTAACTCATCTCTGTCACTTTTTTGTTCCAGTGATTCTCCTTCAACTTTGTATGTGTGAAAACCAAAACAATAGCGCAGATTTTTTTTTTAATGTGAGAGTGCGTCTGTGATTCAGGACATAATAAATGAGATTAGTCTCTCACACAGATGCTTTTGCAGATAGAGGCACGTTTGCTTAACATGTAGCTTCTAATTACAGAAATATTGCAGCTCTGACTTTTTTTAGCCATCCTCTGTTACAGTCGCTGATACATAACAAAAGGCACTCGTTAAACCCTATTCTTTCATATCTGCATGCTTCCTCACATAAGAATTACCTGATGCGTATATGTCATCATATGCAGTTTTTCCCCTCTCTAAGTCAAAAAGAGAGGAAAAATACTAATAAGAAAAAAATTGCCCAGAATCTGGCACTCTGCTTGAAATAAGATTAATGGCTGTACATCTATGAGAAAGAATTCAGTTAGATCTTAATTTCTGTCACTTAAAGGGATAAGTTATCACACTGATAATATTACAAGAATACTGATCTCAAAATCTGGAGAAAATAAGCAATTGGTATTTGTTACACAGAGTGTACCACAGGTACTTGTGAACTGACTTCTTCAGGCAGCCTGTACTTCGGCGGCTCAGGCACAGGAGTCTGGATTATAATGAGAACTTCTCTCTTTGCTCCCCCTGCTCCCAATCTCCAGCCTTTGTTACCTGATTGTCACTCTTCTAGCACTTAATTGACATAGGTGTAAATCTTGAGAGCTCTGGGTGGACTCCTGAGGACATCTCTCTTTGTTCAATAAAATGTCACTTTATTATATCAACCATGTGAAACTGTAATAATGTCAGCTGTGGAAAGGTGGTGGTAGGGATGGAGTAAGCGTATCTTTTCCGAGACCTTTATTACGTGTTTGAACACACAAGCATTATCTTGACTCTGAATCTTTATAACAAAGTCTGTTCTTTGCAGGGCTGCTATCCTGAATGACATTAAAAAATACTCTGTTTATACAGTTGTATCAAGAAGTAACTTTATTTTATTACTCTTCCCGGTTTGCTGCAGTCTCTATTCAGCATAACTCTAAGTCTTTTATTAACATCCTGCTGTTTATAATAAGCAGCAACTCTTACGTTTTCGTTGTGAGCTCTCCTCCTATTGCCTATATTTACTAATTAATTTTTCTCTTGCTGTACAACACTTTGGGGCTTATGCCTTGTGAACACTGATAATTAAATGTGCTGCTACTTTTAAAGGGAAAAGAAGAAGTTAATGGCATTCTGTAATGTCTGATTGGTTACAAAACCGAAGTTCCCCTGCAGTAGATCTGTTCAGATGGAAATCTGTACTGTTAACACTTTCTGACTTAATGGTTATGTTGGTGAACATATACAGCAGTATGTGGAATGTACAGATGTATAAATATGTTGATTTTTAATAAAAAAATCTTTTAATTATGTTTGTCATTGATTTCTAGATATATAAACCCTGGGATGTGAATGGCCAAGTGAAGGAGAAAGGTTGTTCAGTGGTAAATAGAGGATTCATCTGGGTGACTGACAGAGGTGGTCAGATGAAAGGCTGAATTAAGCAAGTGCAGGGTGTTAATGGAGATCAACAGGCATTCTTAAACTAGTGAATTTTTCTTTTGGGAAGAAGTTTTACTTTGTTTTTACCTCTTCTTTGACTGAATCTGGGTTTTTACAGATTCAGGTGAACGTGGCTACTGCCGTTCCAGATTTGGAAGATCTTCATCTGCCTATGTGTAGCTGAAGCAATCCTTTCTGTGATTAAAGCCGACAGTTACATGGGAGTCTGGTCAGTGATGGGTGCATGGACATCCTGGAGCAATACAAACAGAAGTACTAAAACATTTTAAGCGGAAGACCTCAAAACAGAGCCAGTGTTGATCTGGGAGCATAGGCTGGTAGTTGAGACGAGTAAAAGCAGATGCTGTTTGCAGAGACACCTCTGGGACCAGGTAGAAAGTTAAGTTAATCTGCAGCTTTTCTACTGGGGCACTCTTTAGTAAAAACAAATTTAGGGAAAACAAAGATGCAAGTGCTACCAAAGCTGAATGGTATTTATTTTTATTACTGGAAATCCCTAATTCAAACTTACAAGGCCAAAAGCAAAGTTACTGCCAGAGCCTAGCCCGTGTCCCCAGGAAAAGGGGATTATTACATCCCTGCAATGTGGAAACGAGGGTGATGCTTATATACTCTACAGCAGGGAGCTGGTGTTCCTCATCTTCCTCCTCACTGTTCAGGAGTAATGGCCCTGGCTCAAAGCAAACTTCACGGCCAAGGGGCCAGGTGTCCCCTTCTTCCCGCTTCAGCAGAAGGGGCCAGGACCACCACAGTGGCACTATAGGTTTATAGGCAAACTATATGAGGAAACCTCGGGAAAGGGAGGGTGGTAAGGGCTGGTAAGGAGGCTGTGGTAAGCCAAGGAAACCGGTGTGATCTCCAAGGGGAGGCAGTGATGGAGGAATGCAAAGGACAAGTACAGAAAAGGGAGGAATCTGTGTTTAGGACATGCAGGTGTGACCTAATTCAGCTTGTTTCCAGCCCTACTCTGCATGTGCTTGAGTCTTCTCTCCCTGCATCTTCCCTGCCCGTGATACAGGGCAAATCCTGTACGTGACCAAAACATACTGAGGATGCTGGCTAGAAAGTGATGGCAAGTGGTGGCCTTTGGGTAGCAAGAAGTGGGAAAACTGGATGAAATGTCTCTCAGCCCTGAAAAAACATCACTGGAAGGAATTTAAGAGAATGTGGCAGTAACCAGGCAGGGGGAGAAGTTGTCACTGCTAGCTTTAGGTATTGGCATGGGCCTGTGCATTGCGAAGGGGTAGTATGTCCTTTGCCTGCTACATCCCTCTCTCTTTCTTTCTCACATGTGTTTGTGGATGTGATGGTTGTCCTGGCAAATGATAAAATGGGCAGACCTCACTGAAACCGTAGTTTAACTTACTGGTATGAATTAATCCATCACCTCAGAATTTTATTGCTCTTGTGCTAAAAATCACTTGGTCCTTTGTGTATGCTGTTTGCTCATCAGGACTTGCTGCTTGTTTCAAGTTTGTGCAAACAACATTTTCACCTCTCTTTTTGTTGCTGCATTTTTTTAGCCAAAAGTAACTTTATATAAAGAAATAATACCATAAAGACGGCTGAGCAGTAGCCACATGCTATTCGGTCAGCTTGGGTTTAGTTGCAAGTGTGGCTTTGACAGTATTGCACTGCTGTGGTTTTATTTGATGTCTCAAAACCAAATAACAAATGGGAACGTGCTTGTTCTCCAGTTTGCTTTGTGCATTAAAAACTCATGGGGTGGTCGGAAAGAAAGATGCAGAAGCAAAATCTACCTTGATTTTTCAGCTACTTCTCTGAAACTGCTGCTTAGATGGTTGAGTGGCTGTCATCAGAAACACAGGTTGTGTTATTTTTCTTCATTCAGGTGCTTTGGGAAGAATCCTGGATGTCTTATGCCTGAGCTCTGTTTAAACCTGTTGAAGCATCTTGGTGCTCAGGCAGTAGAGGACAAGGGTAAGCCCTCAAGCCAGGCAGCATCGGCGCTCGCATCGCTGCAGGCATCTACAGGACACCAAAGGCAGGTTGTGCACTGCGTAGCCGGGGAGCCGGCAAGGTCAAAATCCAACAAAAACAGAGTGGGAACTATAGTGAAGGGTTGTTGTTTTGAAGTTCAGGTCTATGTTCACTTGGCAAGGTTTCTACAGCCCTGTCAGGTCAAGATGATTGTTCCTTCGGCTGAAGCAAAGGCTGTGGGCATGTTGGTGGGTGCTCAGGACGCTCTTACAGAGGGTGTTTGAGATGAAAAGGTTGAAAGGTTGGAGTGCAGCATGATACGGAAAGGAATGAAAAATGTTACCGCAACAATCATCACTTCGTTAGCTCAGCCAGTAGGAAATACACCCTGGAGAGCTCTGGTTTGCATTTGCCAACCATCATCCAGTCAGTGGGGGAAAGGCAATACAGAAATCATTAAAAAAAAAAAAAAAGCAGTTGTGGCTTTGGCACAGTGGGACTTCAGCTGGTTTTGCCGCTAGACAGTGGTTAGAAAATGGTCCACGCTAGGCATCTAGATGGCAACTCCTTCCAAGACAAATAATCAATAGAGCATAGCTGAGTTTTGGCAGAAATGAGCCCCAAAGGTCCAGTTCATTGCAACAACCATACCTGCAGGACAGCATAGGGTCAAAGAGGCCAGGGTTGCCAACAGAAAGCTGATGATGGCTAAAAGGTGCATCTGTCTTGGAGGAAATGTGGTTGGTTTTTTTTTTTTTGGGGTGGGGGGGGCTG